GGTTTGCTTAGTTTTATTGTAGGTTGTTGGAACGCTTGAACTGTTATTTTTTAGCTAATCAGCGCTGCCATCTGGTGGCCAGGAGTGCAGTGAGCGCCTGCTTCTTCGTGAAAATTAAAGGAGTTAAAGCAAATTAAATAATCACACATTTTAAATTCTTCATAAACTTCAAAAAATCTACAAGAACAATACTTAATTACTGTGTATTTTTATTATCGCAAAAGATTTTTTCAGTTTATACATATATTTTGCATGTTATCAAATGAAAGACAAATACCCACAATATTAAAAGCAAAATATTATTTTTAAACATTTCACTTATTATTATCTGCATCAATAATGCAGAGTAACTCATCTAGTAAAAATGGAATATAACATGAATATAACATAAATAATCCAGTCAATATTCTCATTTTCTACATGAAAAAGGCTAAGGAATATGTTACTCTAAAAGTAAGATTTAAAATCAAAGACAAGAAAAGCAGATAGTAGCATGGAAGGCATTTGCAATTGAAATGGTGATGGTGGGGAATGTGGATACTCGCTATCAGTTGAGACTGCAGTCTAAACCAGCTTTTAAATAAAGCAGTAGGTGGTATAGTGGCACATTTAATATAGTGTTTGTATTACCATAGGGCTGTGGGATTCCTAGTTCTGTACCAGAATAATACAGTGTTAGATGTAGCATAAACATAAACAAAATAGATAGCTCCTTCCAAAAGAATTAATTATGTAAGAGAAAAGAAAACAAGTTAATGCAAGCAGACAGAGAAACAGAAGTATCAGATGAGAGAAAACAAATGCATATAAACAATGGGGGAACTCAGGAAATACTGCAATAGTGGTTAGGAGAGTGAGCAGACTTGATATCAGATATAATCAAAGAAATATAAATTTGCATATGTGGTGGCAAAGTTTTAAGGTGACATATGCATGTAGCAGAAAAGAACCTGTAATCACCAATATATAAAGAACTGATTAGAATTTACTGGGAAGAAGTTGACTTCTCCGTAGGACTATCCTACAAAAACTTTGAGAATGTCCACCTGTCCCCCATCTGTGTCTCTGCCATCTACACCTGCTGAAAGACAACACTAAGCCTCGGTCAAGCAGGATTTAAAGTAGGTCTGCACATTTGCTGTCATCAAGACATGCATCAAGACATGACTGAGGTAGCTCAGACACCATTAATTGGTCACGCTTTGCCAAATGCAGCTTTCGTTGCTGGCTGTCTTGGCCATGGCTGCACAGCAGGTTAATTCAGATGATCAACATCTGGGCTTCAGCAGGCAGAGCAGCCCCACCACAGAGCTAACACTGAACTGAACTCACCGATGCATCAATCACGTATCCACTCCCATAAAGCATGGGTGTGTACGCACAGTTTTGATCTTGCTCTTGGCAGATCCATTGTAATTATTTCTTAATGGACTGTATGAGGACCTTTGCTCTTTTGGAAGTGCAGGCAGCACCGTGGGAGTGGCAAGATGACCTTAGTACACACACAGTAATGCTCTCAGCTTGCTCATCTCAGACTCCTGTACTACCCCAGTCTGTGTTTTCAGGTGTTAATAACACCATTGACAAAGAAACTTGATGAAAAGGATATCCAGATTTTAAAGTTTTGTGACTTAAGTAGGAGTTGTTATTTCCTAAATACATTTAAATCCAAGAACAATTTTTGAATACCTTACATAAAAGCAGTAATGAATGTTCATGTTCTTCCTCTGAATTGTGACTCCCTAACTGTGCTTCCTCAGCTGCAGCCTTCTAGAACAGAGTGTGCAGAATAGTAGAGGATTTGGTACCTAATTAAAGTCTGTGCTATTGTGAATATTCATAATTTCAGAAAATTAATACATGATTCTCCCATGGTGAACACTCCAAATTACTAGTTTTGAAAATACCTCCCTTTCTGTATCTATGTTTCCGGTTTATAACAGTTAACTCAGGACTAAACTTCCTCATATAACAGAAATTTAGAAAATATGTACTGTGTAATGTTTGGGTAGTGTATAGATAAGGATGTTTTTCATTAACGGCCACCTAACTCGTGATAACTGATCTTGTACAAACAATACATTCACACAAATAGCATAATTAAATTGTGACAGCAATTTGAACTTCTAAGAGTTTAAAAAAGAGCCTTCAGTCCTTAAAAAGAGAAATGCCACAGATAGAATCCAACACTTGCAGAAAATGACAAGCACTCAAAAGCTTAAAATTACAACCTACCTCCCCCCCAGCAAATAGAACTTTAACTAGCAGAATATAAAAATAAAGGGATTTAGAGTGAAAATAGAGAAAGTTGAAATGGTGTTTAAGATGTCTAGAAGGCGCTAATAAAAATAATTTTAAAAGACAACACAAAGGAAAGCATTAAGGCTTAATGATAAAAGCTGCAAGAAGTGGAAATTAAATGGGCAAGGGCTTGATTTGAAAACCGGGAAAGCATTTATTTTGTCATGAGTTTTGAGTAGGTTGAACAATAGAGAATTTTCAGAAATACGTCTGTTTTCCAGAAGACTATTGTCCCCTACGGAGAGTTGCACTATGCGCTCCAAATGAATCCCTGTTTTTTTTTAGCTTTTTATACAAAGCCCTCCTCTGTTCGTTTGCGAGGGCTGGGAGCGCAGCCCCGGTGTCCGCAGGCGATGCCATGCCCAGGGGCTCCCGCCGCGCGCACGTGCGCCCGGGGCACGTGAGCACGCCCGGCGACTCGGTCTCCACAGCGACTCTGCTTTGTTACTTCACACAACAACTTTGCGTTGGCCCTTTCCGCCAAGGCCACCATAGGGACGGCACCGGAGCAGGGTGCTGGAAGCTGGGGAAATTCCCTACTGGGGACAGGCAGCGGGACGGGAACACTTCCACCGTCTGAGGTAACGGCGACCTCCTCACACGAAGCCCGGGAGCGCCGCGCTCAGGGGAGAGGCCCGTTCCAGCCGCCGTGCCCCGCGGCTCCATATCGGGAAGGGTCCCACCATGGAGGCGGAGTGACGCGTGCGCGGCGACCGCCCCGCCGCTGGGAAGTGCGGCCGCCCGCGCTCGCCGTACACTGCGGGCTGTACCAAACCCCGCTCCTCCGGCGGGGGTGGGTGCGACCGGAAAGTGACAAAGCGCCGGGACCCACCGGCCCCAGCTCACCCTGCGGCCGGCGGGGACAGTCCAGTGGAGAGAACCCGAGGGCGGCGGCGCCCCGGGTGAGGCGGCAGTGCGGCGGCAGCAGCACCGAGCGGGGCCGTGGGGCCGCGTGGCCGCGCCCCGACCCCGGCAGTGGCGGCGCCGGCAGAGGGGCGGGGCGCGAGCGGCTTTGGGTAATGGCAGCGCTGTGAGGACGGAGCGGGGCAGCGACCGCGGCCGAGGGCAGGAGCGAGGGAGGCCGGGCGGGGGTCCCTGACTCGGGCCCCGGGCCGCCAGGTAACTCTCTCGCCCGGCCCGGCCCGGCCCGCGCTGAGAGGAAGGAGCGCTGCGCTCGTGGGGAGGTGGCGGTCCCGACCCTGCCGGGTGTGCGTGGGGGCGATCGGGCCCTGCCTCCCGTCCGGCCCCGGCCCCGGCCCCGGCCCCGCCGCTGCCCCCGCCCTGGGCCCCCATCCCCCGGCGGTGTCTGTGCGGCCGCGCCCGCCCGCCGCCTCCTGCCCCGGGTCCTGCCCTTGCCCTGCAGGGAGGGCGCGGTGCGGCCTCTCCGGCGGGGCCGCTCATTTTTCGCTGGCTGTGCTCTCAGCCAGTTTCGCTTTTGTTTTGGTGGAGGGAGGAGGTGGGGAGCGGAGAGCGGGGCGGGGGCGGGCAGCGCTGGTCACCTGTTTGATGCGAGTGCTCCTGCCTGTGGCTGCGCACCCATCACGGGCTTGTAGTGCTGCTTATCGAGGTGGTTAAGTAGCGTGGAGATATAGGGCGTTCTTTGATGCTAGACAGAATGCTGTGTTTATTTGTGTGAACAAATATATGCAGTATGACAGCCACATGTTTTAAAGAATGAGGTGATGGAAGCGGCATCCTTTCATTATTCGGCTGAGTAAATATGTTTCAATAACATCTGTTTACCTTAGGGCTTATCAAATAGTTTGGCTTCCCACCCCCTGAATTGTCTAAACCCTGGAATAGATATTCTACCCGCTATAGTTCTTACAGTGATAGTTCAAGACATTTAATAATCGAAGTTGGTGAGCTTGAGCATTGCTCACACTGGAGCACAGCATACCCCAAAAAGTCCAGTGTCTTAGAGTAACTAAGTGTAAGTATATAGTAACTAAGTAACTAATATGGTGTAACTAAGAGTTACATTGTATTTATTAAAATGTCTGTATAACACATTTAAATTCATATTTCCGTGAAAGTTGTAAGAGAATGCCAAATAATAGTTATCTTAAACTCCAGACTACTTGGATGACCATGTGTATGCTTTCTACAGTATTAGGTTTTAATCATCCAGAACACGGTGTTACTGATTAATGACATTGGGATGTACTGTGGAAAGGACTTTTTCTTCACCTTTCTTTCTTCCCCTCGGCTTTGCTTGTCTTTGAAGAAAGGGCTCTTTTACCTTGGATGCACCATGTGTGTTTCCAAGACAGCGACCTCTAATATAGCACAAGCACAGCTTCATTACCACAAGCACTTATGATTCCTAATGTCTTTTGTGAACCATGATTATTTTTTCTTGAGGTCAGCTGGAAATGCTCTCTTGTTTTCCAGAAGAGGGGTATTGGGTCTTTTTCAAGATGACCACTTCCCCTTCTCCCCTCCTGGAAGTGAGCTGTTGTCTGTTTCTGCTGAGGTTCATGTTTCTGTGAAACATACATCAGTGTGTTTTTCATTATACTTTCTTTGATGGATCTTTGTTTTGTCACTTCTCACTGATGTTTTTGTGTAAAGTCCTGCCTACATATATGGATTGAATTAATAGCCATATTACAAATATGACAACACAGCAGTTGAGGGGCTTGGTTAGTTAGTCGAGGGGGGAAGGTTGTATGCATCCATTCTAAAAGTTGCATCTGATTTTATTGCTTTTTTCTTAAACTTAGAAGTTATATATCCTGTAAGAGCCAGTAGTGGTTAAGGTAGTAAGTTGGTTGCTAAGTAGTTTTTTAGCATGACATTTGATTCTTTCCCTTACAGAGGTCTGCCTCTTATGCTCAAAGTCTGTAACTAGCTTTCTACTTTCCCTTCTGACCTTGAAAATTTGGAAAAATAAGAGTCACTTGTCCATCTGTTTGAAATGGAAATAGAAGCATTCTTTCCACTTTTTATTGTAGTCTTACAATGTTTTGTTTCTGAGCAGGAGCTAGACTTGCTTTGTGCATGGAATGTCACACATCAGGTCCTTTCTGGGTTAGGTACATAGGACAGAGACTAGTGGAAACAAGAAACCTTCACAGTTGTCTCGTTGTAAAATCACCTTACTTTTCCCCTAGTTTTATTTAGATAATTTAATGTGGAGTGTTTTTTAAGTAATAAATTTCTTCTGATATTTTTGATGTGAAATTACTAACACAATTTCTGTATTTTCAAGTCATGTCTTACTTGAAAGATCTCACTGCTTGTCCTACTGCATTGTGCAGTAAGCTGCACAAGCTCTGTATATTGTCCTGTGTTTTCTTTTTCACATCCTGAGCAAAACTTTCAGGTTTTGTGGATTTTCAAATGTTACACCGAAAATGTTGCATGAAAGGCTAAGGTGGACATAGGCTACAAACTGACAGTGGGAATTTCAGATACTCGGGTAATAGTTTAGTTTGTTCTAACCCAAATTTTCTTAGATACAGTTGAAACATTCTTTGAATAGAAGTGAACAAATCAAAATTTGCAGGAAAGTTGTTTTATTCATGTGACAGTATTAAATTATTAGTTTGGTGAGATAATGAACTTCATAAAGCATGATGCTGTTAGATTAATTGGTGTTATGTTGTAGGCTCCTCATGCAACGTTGATGTTCCATTCCAAAACATTAAAAATGAGGGATTGTGAGCTTTATTTTGGAGGGGGTGGGTGTTCTTTGTGTCACTCTATCATAGTGGTGCAACGGTGTACAAAGTTGAAATTGAAAAATTCAAATGAAGTGTATATTTTTTCAGTGATTGTGCAATGTTGTCTGACATGTTTAATTCTTCTACAGATTAACACTAAAGCCCCACAATGTCCTTGAAACCACGAGTAGTTGACTTTGATGAAACATGGAACAAACTTCTAACAACGATTAAAGCTGTTGTTATGTTGGATTATGTTGAAAGAGCAACGTGGAACGATCGCTTCTCGTATCCTTTAAGTGAAAAATCTGACTTAATGTGTTTGTGTGATGTGTCTAGCTCAGAGTAAACCCATGTTATGTAACAATGATCTTGAGCAGCTTGTTGTTAGGTTGTACCTGTTATTAGGACTGTGAATAAGTTGAAAGGGATGGGAAATTCTGCATATTTGGGAAGGATTCTATGTGAAAATCACAATGCTCATAAAAAGTGAACTCGTCCCAGTTTCAGTCAGTTTTGGTAGCTCTAGTACTTTAGATTATGCTGAAGCTGTTCTTACAGGTATTGAGTGTCCTCTATTCTGACTATGAGGTTTTCTTGTATGTTTAAATGTTTGTGTGTAGCAAGGGAAATGCCCTTGAAGTACCCCTTTAAGTTTGGGTTGTGAGGGATGTTGAGGTTGTTCTGCATAAAGATTTCTCCCTCTTCTCTGCATTTCTAACTGTACTGGTAACTACCATACTAGACATTACTACAGCAAGGATTTATTAAAAAGCCTTTTTCCTTTCCCTCCACTGTTATTGCCACATTACTCGTGACAGCTAAGCTATGTTTAAAAATAGCTACTCTTTCTGCATTCATATGGCCTTGCTGTTCAAGTCACAGCTATACATACATTGTTGTAGTAGAAAGGTTTGTGTATTACATGTAAAATGCACCTGTAGTATTTTACAAGATTTAAGTTTTAGCGAACTTCTTTTAAATTAAGTATAACCTTTCTAACCAGTTATACTGTGCCCTGTGTCTATATATTCATTACCCATTATATCCTGGTGAACAAGTGGAGAATTTTAGGAGGCTTTGCACCTGTTCTGCAGGGATAGGACACAGTTTGGTTTAATTATGAGGGGGAAGAATCATTTAGACTTATTTATTGATTTGTTAATTCTTGTGGGTGAAAAAAGAAGCACCTGAGAAGATCCTTATACATAAATGTTTGCAGCATAAGGTTATTCTGTGTGTGGGAGCTTCACTCTAAAGTCTCATCTCATTCTGGACATGTTAACCATTTCTCAGAATTGCTTTCCCACAGAGCTTGTATTTTGAGTGTGTGCATGTGTATATGTACATCATTTGTAGTTCTTGTGGAGACTTTTTGTGGTGTAATAATCTTTAAGAGCTCTTTCATTTTAAAATTTTCTAACTAATTTCTGGGGGCGTGACTTGCCACCTTGTACTGAAGTCAAGTTCAATGGACTCCAGAATTTAATATATTTTTAAATTAATTAGCTGGGTACTTACATGCTGAGAAGTTGTTTTGCAGTCATTCTTTCAGAGCAGTTTTTGAGTATTACATAATTCAGTCTTATCAAGTGGTTAAATTCTGTAGCTTAAAACTTTAAACATTCAAACAAGGGCATCTAAAATAGATTTAAATATAAAATAATCATTATTGCATGAGATGTTATGTTGATTCCTCCTGTCACACTGTTTTACTTGCAACTTCTTATGTGGAGATCTTGTACACAAGTCTGCTGTTGATCCTCTTTTGGGATTTAGTCCAGTTGGTTGAACATCACAAAAGGATTGTTTATGAATAGTGGACTCAGGAAGCAGTCTTGGAAGAATCATTTGGCATGTAATTCTTAAGACCTTACTTACTATCATCTCTTAATTACATTCCTTGGAAAGTGGCACTATTAGTGTCTGTTTTGGCACAGGCATGAGCCTTTTGGCTTACTGTCTGTGGCTGAATGGCCCAAGGAGTTTGTGTAACTGCAGGCTTGAATGTTGGTTGTTTAGTACTTCTGCTTCCTATAACCAAACTTTGTGCTTTAGCACAAGCTGCTCAACGAGTATTCAACAACTTGGTGGAATTTGTAGTTATATACAGCTGGAATAAAAGCTTTTTCCAGGTTTTATACATAGAGAAGATTAAGGTATTAAGGATTATTTTTTTAATTTGGCATTTAAAAATTTGTCATCTTGTGCTTTGTTAACTTTTTATTCTCTCTTCAATTAAATTGGAGTAATGTTTCTAAATATCTGCAGGGATTTTAAAGGAAATGTTCTATTAACTATTTTTCTGATTGCTTAATCAGCACAATAGAAAGATGGCAAATTATTTGAACTGTTTCAACTCATACAGGTTATTTCATTGATTATAGTATCACTTGATCTTTGTACTGTATGGTCGACACAGTGATGTGGAAACAAAGGTTAAGATACAGCAAACAATCACTGTTTCAATCTGCATCAGTGTATTCTAAGAAGTATTAGCTTTCCCTTGCGCTGTTTGGGGCAGCTGAGATCCAGTGGAGTATGGAAGCTGACAGTATTGTAGGGATGTCAGGCTTGTACTGCACATAACCCACTTCTAGAACTAATTTTTGCCCCATTAGTTCTTCAGAACTTGTTTGTCTTGAATACAGTGTTTCCTTTGTAACTTATGGTAACTTTATTGTTAAGCATGGCTTATCTTTAAATGAACATTTTACTTCATACTCAAAATGCTAGAATGGCAATGAGCTGGGAACCACAATGGTGTAAATGTTAAAATCTTCTGGAAAAGATGAACTGAAAGACCATATGTCGCTTTATGTGAGTCATCCTGAGCCACCTTTGACCTTCAGATTTTCTTTTAAGATTCTCTGCAGAAAGAAATGTGTATGAACTTGTTTCATTGTCTGGTAAATGAGTGACAGTTATGTCTCTGTTTCAGGTGTTATTGTGAATACATTGTATCACTTTCAAGACTCTGCTGTTAACTGTTCAGTAGGCATGAGAGTGCTTTTTAAGTTAAGGCTTGGTTAGAGAGTGGTAGGTAGTTCATCTGTACTTTGGTAACTGCCTTTTACCTAGAACTTTTTTGAACAGGTAGAACATTAAGCTCTTCCTGTTACTGTCTTGGATTTTCCAACCAATAAGTTGCAAATAAGATGAAGAGTACCCAGGGGCAGCTCTACTTCAAACAGAATTATTTTAAAAGTTTGCAGCATGGCCACCTGCTTTTTTTCACCATTTTTTCTCCAAGTTTGTTCTCCCTCCTCTAATGAACTATTTTGCAAGGGCCCTATGATGAACCAGAAACTTAAACATGTATCTTTAAAAACAACTGGCTGAGAAGGAAGAATAAATAAAGTTCATATGGTCATGATTCTTTCTGACCGACTCCTGAAATCGTCTACAAGATTTTGGTTCTGTTACAGAAGACTGATGAATAGAAATTTTCCCAAAGCTCTACATTGGTCTCCTAGAGAAGTCTTAACTAGGTGCTTTTTTAACCCTGAGGATAATATTTGTGAGCTTTTATAGCTTTGGATATAGTATTTTCTGGTTGATGGTAATTTTGTTGTTGTTCCTTCTTAGTTTGGAAGTGCTTCAGTTTCCCATTGCTGCTTAATGCCCCTCAAATAGCAACTACCAAAGCCCTTAAGTCACAGAAGGGTTTTGATGTTCTTGTTCTCAAGGCAGAGTGAAGGCCCCTAGGCAGCAGTTCGGCTGCAGCTTCCTCTGACCTTTCTCACCCTGCAAAACTACATGCTGAACTGGAAGAACAGATGGCTTTCACCATTAAAGATAAATTATTGAACAGTAAAGGCTTCTTCTGTTGTTCTAAGGGACAGCAGCAAAGGAAAAATGTGCTTTAAGTTTATGGAGTAAAATACCAGTGATTAGTGATCAGAGTTTTTGGGTTGTTTTTTTTGTTGTTGTTGTTTTGGTTTTTTGTTAAGAGAGTCACAACATTTTGAATATCACACTTAAATTTGGATTCTGGACTCAAAGAAAAAATGGATAAAGAAACAAGTACAAATTGATCAAGAAAGAGCAGTTTTGCAAAAGTCAGATACATTTCAGTCTCATTATAGCTTTTCTTTTGTAGAATTCTAGAGAAACTTGATCCAGCAAGTACTATTTGGTTGACACAGGAGTGTGAGATGCCTGTTCAAGTGCTTCTGTGATTAAGCTCTTAGTTTGTGTATCTGCTGATATTAAACAGGGTGGCAAATGTCGAGGAAGAATACTAGATTCAGCTTTCTTCTTTTGTAAGAAAATTCGTTCTCTAGAATATGGAAAGGCATGTTTGGAAGATGTGCATTTTCATGAAGGAGTAGGGATACCATTTTCGTTCTTTAACAGGATTATTAAAACTAAGAAACTTGCTCAGAAGATAAATTCAGAGATATTTGTTTACTGCTTTCATCAAATAAACTGTCATTGCTATTTTCTTCTGCTGCTGTGGTGGAGACTGCCTCTTTCCTCTAAATTTGTGTAAGTTGTTCTTGTGGTAGAGATCTGTAGGTTTTGGTGATTCAGGTAGTGTAATTGTGGATCTAAAGAGAAAAACGTCATGTCCTCTTTGCTTGTGAGTAAATTAGGAAGATTTCTAATTCTGAGTTTAATTTCTTAAAAATATCTTTGCATAGTAAAGAGGATGCATACTGAAGATGCATTTGACTACTCACCATCCTTAGACTGAGAAAATTTGTTGGGGAGGGGAAAGTGTAAAAACTAATTATTGTTTACAATCTCTTTAATAGAATATTTAATTCTTCACAGTTTTAAGTTTATTTTGATATTTTATTGGTCATTATTTTACAAGCTGTTGTAGTGCAGTGGTAGCTACTGTTACAAAGCAGTGAATGTTGTCTGTTTTGTTTCTTGGTGTTTCCATGTAATGCTTTTTGCTGTTCTGAGGAGAATTCTAATAAAGATTATCTATATGAATGAAATAACTGTACTCAAGATTCGATTCTGGTTGGGGTCTCTGAGATTCTAGTGGCCAGATAAAGAGTTTTTTCCAAATTAGTTCTTCTGCATCAGAATCTTCTTTGTTTTGAGCAGTAATTCCGTATAAAAAATGAAAAACATGCATTTGAACACTGTTCTGTAGATTAAGCAGGCGACTCTTCAACTGTCTGTCTTCCACCTCCTTTTACACAGGCATGTGATCTTTTAGGGTATACTAGAGGAAAGCAGATCTTAACTCTTTTCTTAATTCAAGTGATACACTAAATCATTGATTTCTGCCATGGCTGGCTTTATGTAGTGCCTAGGCTTAGTGGTTAAGCATAATGTTTTAAAGTAATTTTTGCAGAATTAGTTTATTTCCCACAGTTGTTCATGTGAAGCTTGACCTAATCCTTGCTTGACTTTTCTGAAAGCAAAGTTCTCAGTCACAACTTCTCTTCCTCAAGTTACTCTTAAAACTTGATACAAACCAAAGATGTTGCTCTGCAAGGTAGTTTAGGAACAAAGCCACCTTAAGGGTGGCTTAACAGTTTGCTGCTGCCCATTTAAGTTAACAAGTACAACTGTTTTTTTGTGGCTGTGATTTAAACTGGCTTACTGAAATTATAATAATGGTTAAAAAGAATTTTTATCCATTGCAATTATTTAATTTTCAGTGTACCCTGAAGTTGTTTTACTTGTGGAGGTGAGGGCAAAATGCAGGGACAGTAAGTTGTTTTGGGCTCCAGGAAGGGAAACTTGAAGTCGGCTTCACCGTGTGTTTGCTCTGCTCTGTACTTGACTAATCACGTTCTTAACCTAATTAGTGCTTCTTTCCATTATGTGAGAAGAGTTCATGTTGGCTGCAAATACAGAAGAACGGTGCATGAAAGCTGCTTTTTCACCTTGAGATTATTGTATATTATACATGGCAAATAAAGGGTAAAAGCCACATCAGTATAGGATCTTAACTCTAACATTGCCACAGCATTCACTATTTAAATTTTAATATTGATGCTGTAAATTTGGATTCTGCAAAAGCCTACATACTTAACTAATTTCAGAAAATGATTAATTTTATCTTTTTTGCTCAAAAGTAAAAAAACCCCAAAATCTAAATTGTATGTGTGGAAAAGAAAGAGTTCTGTAAATCATAAACTTTGTTGGTATGTTTTCACTCTTTAATACAAACCTTGACTTTGAGCCCAGAGACATTTATGCTTTGTGTGTGGCCTATCCTGAACCTCTTGGAGAGAGACTTTATACTGAGACTAAAATTTTTTTGGAGAATCATGTACGCCATTTGCACAAGGTAACCTGTACAGTTAATGATGTCCATGTAGGTGTTCTTCGTCCTTTTTTTAACTTTTTGTAGGTCTTTATGAGACTAAATCACAGATGACAGAGTTGCAGAGACGCAATACTTGTATATACGAAATATGTAATACGTATCACACAACTATGTTGGCAGGTATTATAGATACCTGTTAATATGCAACACAAAAGAAATCGTTTTCTTTCTAAGCAAACAGTTCTAGTTTATGCAATATATTCATTGGCTTGAAAAGCGAGTTCTTTTATATGTCGAATGCTTATAAGCAAACAAGTTAGAGAAACGTCTTAATTTTGCAAATATACTGGAGTTTGTCATTCGCCTTGTGTTTCAACAGTGAAGTATACTCCAGTATCTTGGAAACTGACTGCATTTACTCTGTTAAAAATATAAACAAAAACCTTCTGAAACAAGTGGGAAATAACACAAGTGCTTGGGAGGAGAGGAAGTAATGGCAAATTATTTATTATGACAGCAATATTTGTATGTCTATATAGCTTCTGTTTCATCAGCTAAGACAGGTAATTTCATTACCATCATGATTCATCATGTTTAATAGATAGGGTAGATCAATGGTGCCTCCCTCTATATCAGTAAAAAGTGAAGTAGATTTAAATAAGATGCTTAGCAGTGTCTTTAGTGTCTTTATAGTGGGTAAAGCATTGCAAATTCTGTATAGTGCTGCTGATTAGCTTCATGCTTGGGTATCTAAGTATTTGACAAGATAGGCTGGGTGTCTTAATGGGCAGTTCCACTGGTTACAGAGAGGATAATTCTGACACTGATACACTAAATCAGTTCACTAAACTAGCAGAGAACTCTGCCAAATAAGTTCTTCCTCATTTATTTAGTGAGCTGAATGAACTCACTTAGGATAATCAGGCAGGTGCCAGCACAGTGGAAGCTGTGGGAAGTAGTGAAAAACAGATATCCAGTTTTTAAATTGCCTATCCACCCCTTGTCTCTGAAATAATGTTGGAAAACCTTTGCAAAATGCATACAGCACAGGAAAGCATTCTCAATTCTGTTTTGTCTACCAGCTTTCCTCTTTCATAATTTTTTACCCTTTTTTTTGCATGGGTTTCTTTGCTGCTTGAGCCAGATTTTAAAATTACAAACTATAGAGAGAATTAAAGTTGAATTCCTAGGATCTTGTCCCTCCTCACAAATCATACTAATTAGTTTAAATTGTTGCTAACTTCTCTGAAGTATGAATCTATTTTGAGAAGTTCAGTAGCTTTTTAGATGATGATTTGCTTAAATTTCAAAAGATTTGGGCCTAAATTTGAAAAACTTTAATGTGTTTTATATTTATATGTATCTGTGCTTTGTTAAACGTGTTTTATTCTGTGATTCTTAGTAAGTATAAGGATTTGTCTATCCTGTAAGGCATAGTGGTTTAATTGGTTATAGTTGGTCAGTTCTTCTGGTGTGCAGTGCATATGGCTGTGTGAATATAAAACTGATCTATGTCAGTGAGGGAATGGTTCTGCGAGTTGTCCCACCAGTTTGATGTGAGAATATGAAACAGGCTTATTCAAGCAGGTACTTCTGAAAAGATCAAAAGAAAATAATACAGTAGAGAGCTAGCTGCCTTACCAAAACTTGCTAGTATTAAGATGTGTTAACTTTTTGGTCATTGCTACAATTCTGAATATGCAAATGCTATTCCAAAATGATAATCCCCTGATAACCTTCTGTGTGCTATTTTCATACTAATTCTGGTGTGTGGGGGGTGTGTGCCTTCACAGAGAGTTCTGGAAGCTGAAGAACAAGTACTGGTTATGTATCACAGATACTGGGAAGAGTATAGCAAAGGGGCAGACTATATGGACTGTTTATACAGGTAAGCTTTGCAAAAGAGTTGTTAAACCTTTGAAATTATTTAAATGATCTGCAGGTTAAGTTGAAGAGTGTTGATTAAAGAGAGCAGTAGATGAATATGCCTCAGGTCAGTTTTGGAGAGAATATAGTTATGGTAGCAGAACATGAGAAGAAAGGAATAATGCCTCAACAGGTAAGTATCCAAGATGGTTCCTAAAGTTCTTTCATACTAATGTATTCTACTTGATGCTGCAGTGCCAAATGTGTTGTGCTAATCAACCCTGCAGTGTATAAGCTAATAATCCTAGGAGTACTTCTACAACGATGGCACCGTGCTGCAGTATGCAGTTGAACCCATGTGGTTTGAGTCAAAGTTTTAAGATATTCTGCATTTTATAAATCAGTTGGAATTTTTTTCTTGTTGCATGCTTGCTCTGAAAAAAGTGTCATAATTTAGTTGACTCTGTTGTACCCAGGTTTGTATCCCAGAATTTCTGTCGTTCTTCCAGCAATGAAAACTGATTAATGTCTACAGGTAGTAGTCTGAAAGTTACTTTAAAATAGATTCCCTTAAAATTTAAATAGGCTTGCATCTCTGCTTCTAACCTGATAGGCAATACTTCAAACACTACTCAAATGTGAGACACTTTTGAGCAAAATTCATAAAATGTGAGATCAGTCATGTAATTGGCAAATGAGTTAAATCTTTTCTTTCTTCAGTGTTGATTTTGGTTTGTTTATTTTTTTTTCTACCATCCTCCTCAGTGCATTTTGCTAGGAAAACAAATCTGGATTAAATTTGAGAAGTAAAATCCCACATGTGCTTGACTAAACCAAGGTGATAAAACTGTTGGAATAAGGAACACTGAAAGAAACTTCTTCAGTTGTTTTTGTTAGTTCTGATGATAAAAACAGTAGATAAAAACAATGCTGGACATTAGCCCTTACCAGTGTCTTGTTGCTGCAACTGTTTTCATAGGTACTTTTAAAAAATCTGGTCTGCGTACTTTAATTTCAAGTGATTGGGAGGGTTTTCTTATCCAGCAAATTGAAATTAAGTCATTTAAAGAAAAAAAAAGTATTGCAATTGTTCATAATAAAATCCTGAAAACTAAACACACATACACACATGGTGCAGCTTTTGCTTTGTTCCATTTTGTCTTTTAAATACTTGTAATTATACCAGCATATCAAGGTATAGCAATTTTTAGTTTTACATGCTACTCTTAGTTCTCTTTCTGTATGTACTGATGGAAGAGAGAAGTAGTGAGGGGAGTTTAGGGCTTTCCTTTTTAGCAAGCTTAACGAGAAAAAGCAGATTGGCAGCTGTTGGCTTTGTTCACATGGAGGGAGATGGGAAAATGCCACCAAGGAGCCTGTTTGAGGCTCATGTTCCAGCTGTTCCTAATGTCCCCACAGGTTTTGTAGGACCTGGAGGGCCTGTAGCCCTCTAGAGAGAACTGCATTTACAGTTCATGGCTGGTATCAGTGGTAGCACAGGGTTACAGTACTCCCTGAGTCTGAAAGTAGCTCAGGCTGCTGTACTCCAGTTTGTCATCACTGTACTATGACAAGTCTTACTTCTTTGGACTCTTTGGTGTCCTAAATTCTTTCAAGTTCCCAGGATTTCACAGTGTGTTCCTCCTTTTCTCCTTCGCTTGACTTTTGCCTTCATGCTGAGAGTGTTCAGACATCTCTGGTCTGGTGCAGCCTCTGAAGCCTCAATCTCTTAAGGTGCTTCAGTAATCTGGCTCTTTTCAGTGTCTGAAACTGAGCGTCTCAAAACTTCTAGTTAGATCAGAAATTTAAAAAACCTTCTTAGTTGCCTCATTTAAGCATTTCTAATATAAGAAATATTATAAGTGTATATTATTGTGAAATATATTAGAATTTTTTCCCAGTTACCTGGGAAAGAAAATAATGGTTCAGTTTAAAAGTGTTACAATGTTTGTTTTATGGCAATGCTGAGGGTCAAGATGGATGTTTTGGCAGGTCTTGCACAGAATCCATTTTGTGTACTTTATAAAAATTATGCATGCAGTAGTAAATACTGAATTTAATAGTAGCATTTATAGGATTTCTTCTTTTTAACTGTTACTTAAAGTAATTTCTGAAAATCCTCTTTAAAATATGTTATCTGGCTGTTAACTAGTTCGTGACCTGAGTAAAGGATCATAACTGACAAAAGTTTGCCCTGTTAAAATTAGCAGTACTTCTGTGTTACAGTCTGAGAGAAACACAAAAGAATAAACAGTACAGGTAGAAGAAAATACTTTTAACTTAAAAATATCTGATAGTAGGAGTGTTTTTCTATGATTAAAATAAACTACTATCCCTCTAATACTAATCTGTGGGTTAGGAGTATTTTGCACATATATATGTATGAGTAACACAGCAGTGCATATTGAAAGGTTGGATTCTTACACAAGTATATTGCTCACCAAGGAAATGCTGACAGTGATATTTCAGGTTCCTGTTTGATCTCTCAGTTACCAACACTACTGTTTTAATGTGATGTAAATTCTTTCAATTCGTATTGTAACATTTTTCTACAAATAGTAATGGCATTGGTTAAAGGAGGTTATATTTTGTGATGTGGAAGACATTCCACAATTCTGAACTGAACTTTAAAAGCCTTTTCTTTCTGTCTGTTTTGATTAGAATATCTTTATTTCTATAGGTACCTCAACACACAGTTTATTAAGAAGAACAAATTGACTGAAGCTGATCTTCAGTATGGTTATGGAGGGGTGGATATGAATGAACCTTTGATGGAAATTGGAGAGGTAGGTATCTCTCAGAGTGGGGTTGGATATTAACGGCATTCAGAATGCTATAAGTTCAGCTTTGTCTTTTGAAATTTTCAGTTTTGTGTGTCACAGACATATTGTAAATACAAGCATTGTTCCCTTTGTAAAATGAGATTACAGTTTTGGTGTAGAAAAATAAGAGTTCCCTGGCAGGGAAAAAAAGCAAATATGAAAACTGTTGGAAAACCTGGGGTTAAAATGTGCTAATAGAACCACTTTGCAAACAAGCTTGAGATTCTTAAGTGATACTGCTATCTAGAAAACATGTTGAAGAAGCAGTATAATTTTGTTTTTGGAAACCCTTGAAGCATTAGATTTTAGGCTTCTATTTCTTGATGTGACGAAGTATGAAAGCTTTTCGTGAGAATCTCAAGGCAGTAAGGTTAATATCTATTCTTGAATGGTGTAGGATTAGGTTTATGGCAGTCACACCTTTATCCTGAAAAGTAATGGAGACTTGAGTCCTACATTCATGTATTAAATTGCAGCACTATTTTGGTGGATTCATTGCTCCATTTCTTGACCTATAAAGCACTTGGCAAGTTTAGCAAGTCTTTGTTTTGAAAGCATTTTCTCTTTCATTATGGTTCCTGTAGGATTCTGTCTTTTATTCTTTGGATTGTACAAGGGCTCTGGCAGAAGTCAAATTATTCGTTGTCCATCAGTTTAGGATTGAAGGAATTACCATTTATGCCAATTTAGATGACTGAAATGATCTGGCCTTTATCTACCCAAGGGCAAACATGTTAATTTTATATGTAGTTCTCTTCAGTCTCAGCATGAAGTTACAGAATTAATGCCCAGTATTTTTAGAAGCAGAACTGCACTCTCTGTTCTGAAGTTTCGGTCTCAACATCACTCTTGTGTGGTTACAAAACTTTGGGAGCTTTTCAGTAATCTTGAACAAGTTGATTCTTGCTCAGTTCTTCTGAGGTATATAACAGTAGGTCTGTAGCTCAGACAGAGGTGTGTGTGTGTGAGGTGTGTGGGCATAGCTTCAAACAGTTCTTCATCCCCACAACTGTTCCAGACATTCAGTAATTGTACTAGGAAACATACAGGATGAGATAAGTTAATGAAAATAGTCTGCAAGTGCTTGCAAGAGATTACTTTTTTCCCCTCTGCATGTTATGAGTGCATGGTAAAGGAGACTGCATTTCTGAGTTGAGCTCCTATCACTAATTTTAAACTCCTGAGTTTTCAATGGCTCTGTTGGAGCCCTGAGCTAGAAGGTATTTAAGATGTGCCTTCTGTGTTTTTTTTCCCCAAGAAATAGATTCTGGGAAATGGAGGAAACAGCCACTTTCAGTATTGCCAGTCTAGTTGGAGAAGTAAGATTAGTCCCTGTCTTCAAGGGGGAGAAACTTGAACTAATATATCAAGTTGCTGGATTGATGTGTCTATAGTTTATTTGACAAGAAAATTCCAGTAGGTGACTTGAATTTGCTTCTCACTGGTAGCTCATATGTGAGCACGACCATGCTGGAGACCACATTTTAGAATAGATCTACCTGAGGTTGTTTCTCTTCACCTCTTAGTCACAAAATGTATCAATTCTTGTCCTTTTTGTCCTTCCCTTTCTCCTCTCTCTCCAGAGCTGGCTTCTTTCAGCTGGCTTCTTTCATTCTGTGGTGGATGAGTTCCTGTTGTCGTACAGAAACTTACCAGTTCTCCAGTACTCTGCACAAGGCGAGACAGTGAAAATCACTCCTAAGACAATTTTAGCTTCAAAACATGATCTATCTTTGGATTTATAAGCAAATCTTTACCTCTCCTTTAGCCTGCTTGTGTCAGGTTTACATTCTCAACCCTGTATTGCAGCATGAGTGCTGAATAGCTGTGACAGCTGGAGCAAGTTCATGCTCTTTAAAAAGGAGATTTATTTCACAGAGTGGATCAGAGTGCCTGCTTTCAGTTAAGACAAACCTGATTGATAGTTTAACTTTTAAATCTAATGACCTGTTAGTTGTGTCAAAGCTTTCTTAGAACCAATATTCCCTCTGTCTTTATTGAACTTTGCAGTTTCATTTTTTCCCAGTCTACTACTTCCTGGCAGGTGTTTTTGGAGGTCTTCTATGCACAGAAGCATTGTCCCTTTGGGCTTTAAATCTGACTTTGATTCAAGTCTAAAAACTCATTCGAACTATTGGAATTGTGTTTTAAGAGTGGTATATCTTAGGAGCAACTGCTTCACCAGTAAGAATTAGAAATATTTGAGTCCACTTGACTAATTCCTGCAGTGATCTATTAGAAATAGGGTGGCCTATCCCGAATGTGAATTGATTTGAATTCCATTTGAAGCCAAATGTTAGCTTGCTTAAGATGTAAGCATCTTAGTTTAGAGATGTTCTTTGTGTGTTGGATGAAAGGATTCTGTGTCTTTGACTGTGACCTCTGACAAATTGGCCAGGAGAAACTCCCCTTAGTCAGGTGAGGCTTATTTTGCCATCATTGTTAAAAACACTGGTGTTTGTACACATTCAGACACTTTGGGTAGAAAGGTATGTTACTTACCTATACTGTGCAGATGTTTGGTTTATGTGTAGTCTCAAAATCTGCTCTTGTAACCAGCTTGCTTAGAGTCCTTATATGCCTTTGAGAATACCTGATGGAGTGGAACCAAGGAATAAATCAGTTCTATTAGATGTGTAGGAAGAATGCAGGCTGGGAAGCCAGCATTCACAAAGTCAGTCTGACTAGAGATAGAAGAGGTTGTGTAACAACTGAATTTTTAAAATCCTGAATGGGGAATTGTGTCATCTTTGATACTGTTCTAGATTTAGTGTGGTGGGTTTTAGTTGTTTTTTGGGGTTTTTTTGTTTTTTTGGTTTTTTTTGGTTTTTTTTTAATGTATTTTTTATTGATGTAAACCTGTGCTGTGTCCTGACAGCTAGCTCTTGATATGTGGAGAAAATTAATGATTGAGCCGCTGCAGGCCATCCTTATTCGGATGCTCCTCCGAGAAATAAAAAAGTGAGTACTTGATTGCTTCTTCCTTTAACATATATCAGGGTATTGCACTTGTTTTTTTACTTTGAAAATTTGTGGACTTTGACAGAATTGTTTTATGTTTTTTTTAAGGTAACTTCTTATCTGATAATGATGGTCTCTCCGTTCTCAATGTGTCTATGTATTTGTGGCTTTCATGTGTAGAAAAAGGCAGTGAATTCTCTGTAACCACAGAGTAATGATCATTCTATTTCAGCAGTCCTTCTTATCAATGAGAGGAGAGGAGTTAGAATAATTGCCCAGGTCCCATAGGATGCCTTTTGTCTTTTTCTCTGTCTAATACTGACTGTCTTTAGCTTCTGTGCTGTCAGTAAAGTTAAGGGACCAGGCCTTGGACGAAGATTTGCCAAAGCCAGTCAAGCTGTATTGCTTTGCGTGGAGCCCAGAACAATTCTTGCTTATCTGCCAGGAAGACAAAGCTTCTGGGTTTCAGTTTTTCAGATCAGTACCTTCACTTAACAATTTTGATGTTTGACTTGAATGAAATGAAGATAATTATTTTTGCAGTTTGAGGGAAAGTTATTATTTTATTTTTGGTTTGGGTTTTTTGGTTTTTTTGGTTTGTTTTGTTTTTGTTTTTTGGGGGGAGGGTGTTTTTGTTTTGTTTTGGTTTTTGGGGTTTTTTTGGTTGGTTGGTTGGTTGGTTTTGGGGTTTGTTTTGTTTTTGTTTTTTTTACTTCTAGAAAAAGCCAAAGACCTTAGGACTTTTAAAGCTTTGATTTAAAAATTTTATTTAACTTCTAAAGGATTTTCTAATTTATGAATAAACAGAAATTTCGCCATCTACTGCAGATCTTGTGTGCAGTCGTAAATTTCATCAGTTTCTGCATTCCTACCATTGTTTTGGCTAACTCTGGAGTTGCCTAATGACTGGGGTTTTTTTAAGTGATTGCTCAGGTGACCAGACTGGTGTAGGTGAACTGAGGGAGAAAAGTAATTTGGCCGATTGAGGTTCCTTGAATATGAACTTGGTCAAAAAACAATTTGTAAGGCATTGAAAACCTAATTTTAATTGTTTATTTGTATTTTCCATTCCTGAATTAAATATTTGACAGTAAAGTCGCAGATATGATGTCTCTTTTGGATGGTGTTTCTGAAGCCAGGAATTATTTATTTGCTTCCAGTTGTTAAATCATGGTTCCTTTGTAACCAGGGCTAATAGTGCTTTATCCATTTTTACTCTATTTGTTTTCACTAAATGGAGATTCTCTAATTCATAGTGAAGAACATTCTCTTTTGTTACATCAAGCATAGTGATGCTGAAGACTTGTTTTAGTTAATTATATATGTCCCTGGTGGGTGGGAGTGGAAATGTGTGTGAAAACCTTTTTCAACAGACGTCTGATGCCGCTTAAAATAATAGTCTGTGTTTAGCTTGAGGCTGATTGCAGACCTCCCCAGGGTGTCTAGATCAAGGCTGTCACTGGCTTTGGGAGGCATTAGATCTTGAGACAGAAAGAAGTTATCACTATTTATTACTATTTTGAAACTTTGAAATAAAACTTAGCTCATTGTCTCTAATGGTTTGATTTGGATTTTTTCCCATTCTTTATTAGGAAGTCTTTCGTGTGATCTCAGAGAAGTTCAGTTCTGCTTCTCAAAATATGCATCCAAAATTAAGTTTCTTCTAGCCACTTTGTGATCTGCATATCATTTAATGAGTTACATAAGAGAGAGCTGCTTCTTGTTGATGTTTTTTTTCCTGCTATCATGAAATGCAATGCTTCCTGTGGGAGTTCTGAGGATGGCCTTTGCATGTAACAATAGGCTTGTTGCTGTTCTTTGCTGTAATTTCAGTGGTCAACACAGCTTTTAAGAGGCAGTTTTAAAGATGCTGCAAGTGGCTTAAATGTCTTCTAGCACTCAGTAATTCAGGGATTAAACAAGATGCATATCCATAAGCTATATCTGTCAGACATGCAAGAATATGCATGGGAATAATATAACCTAAACATTTTAACAAAATTACTAATACATGTATATGCTTAAAAACTCTTCTATTCTACACCTTCCTCATAGTACTTGTTTGTGCATGGTTCAATTTATTACAGTGCTTTAAAAAAATAAGTTAATGTAGATGGGAGAGTTGAACTACTTCTAGTCAGGAAGTTTGCGTAGCATACAACAATATGTGGAGTTGATAACCAACACTGTAGTTAATTGTTGTATATAAAAGTAGCTTTCTTACTGCACTGGAAGAGGTAGGGAAGCAGAGCCACATATTCTTTCAAATGTTACTTTATCAATGTATTTAACTGGATTTTTAAAAAGACTTCTGACTACAGCCTTGAGTACACCAACTTTTTAGAAGCTATAAGCTTGTGCAATGCATTATACATTAAAACTGACAAACTTTTTTTGGTACATGAAAATAAAGAAATACAAGTAGTGGCTTGTGGCTCAGCTGAACAAGATGGCTAAACTGATCTAAGAGTGTACTGACACCAAAAAGGAGCAGGCTGTGCTCTACCACCTTTCATGTGCTGAATTTGGTGTTCACCTGATTCCTTAGTGACCCAGCTCAACTGCTAATGTGACAGAAAACCATCTTGGCTAATGTTTCATCAGATTGGCACAACAATTCAGCAAAGCATTAGATGAGTGCCAAAGCAAAAGAAGAGAGATAGAGGCCTGTGACTGAGCAAAGAGAGCAGGATTAGCCCCTTGAACAGCAGAGAATTCTTAAATCACTTAAGCCTGCCTTGTCTGACTGCACTACCAATATAGAGTTCTGAGTATAACACTTTCATCCCACTCCCTCTAGTTCAAGCACTCCTCCTACAAGGCAGGCTGAATATCAACTTAAGCATTTTGGTTTCAACACAACAGGAAGCTGACAAGATCTTGAATTGTGAGAAAATTCGTCTATGAAATTCTTAAACAGAAATAATTTGGAAATTACTCAGGTGCTATCTCAAATGATGGTGTGATTAGTACAGCCTGAGAGAGGCTTCTTTAGTAAAGATAACTAACACTTTCTAACTAACTGGACCTATTCCTCTCTAAGCTGATACATTATCTGTTCCATTTGTTTGAAATTAAAGCTATTGGAAATTAACTTTTTAAAAAGCATTTGGAACAGGCTCATCTAGTTCACAATGAATTCTGTAGGTAATTGGCCTTGAAAGACCCTTGGTCTGACACAGCAGAGCATTTCTTTTGAGTGATGGAATCTTCTTTTAATGAATCTGATATTTAATTATTGTACCTGAAATTTTTAAAATATTCTTCTTTGGGGCTGTACTAATACACTGTACAATACATGTTGAACATCCACTGTTAGCTTGAGCCTGAAGACAGGAGCAAGATGGAGATAATATAAACCAGCACAACTTTCTTGTGCATGTGTTTTGTAGCTTTCTCTATTTCTTTTGGAAAAAAACCCTTGTCACCACCTGAATTAGCAGAACTTGTGTTTCTAGCGCTTTATCTTTTTATCTAGATTCCTTTCCAAACATCGTCATACCCAAGATATCCTGTGACATCCCTGCTTCAACCTGTGTTGCAGCTGCTCTGTAGTTTTATGCATCTGTATTGCTTGCTGACTGCTGCCAAGAATGAAAAAAAACATTTCATAGACTTCTACCTTTGGGGGGTCACCAATTCCATTTTAGTGTGGCAGTTGTTCTTCTGCTACAACTTTTGTGAAAGTCGTCCTTAAAACTTCTGTCAAATTTTGTTGACCTTTGCACTACACATTCCTGGGAGCAGAATGCCATTGGTGTAAATAAAAGCCTGGAGTGGCTACCAGAGCAGGCAAGGCCTGTTCTGTGCTGGGTTTGTTTTCATTTATTACCTTGGTGCCATCTGACCTCTGCTTCAAAAGCTTGTTTCCTTCCTTCCAGCTCTTCTGTGGAGCATGTCTCCTGTACTTATACAGCTTTTTCCTAATGTACATTGTCCTTTAAGTCCCCTGGGTCTGGCCATTGCAGCCCCTTCCCCTCCGTATGGGCTAAGGTCTCAAGTGGCCTGTGAATCGAGCAGAGGGAAGCTGGGACTCGAGCTGTTCCTCCAGTAATGCTGCTTGTGTTTGTGTAGCCGATCCAGGGTCCTGTATGTGAGAGCTGGGCTGGGTTGTTTCTTGCCAGAGCCCTGCTTTGTAATATGCTCAGCTTTTAGTTCTGTGACTTCCTATGCTCCATGGCCTAGCCCTGTGTTCACAGGCTGCATGCATCCTATAGCTCTCCATGCTCCTGGGCTCCTCTGGGGTGGAATTGCACGGCCAGAGCAGATTTTTTTTCCCATCTGTGATTCTGTGCTGCTGCCTCTGCCGTCGTAAACCAGACCCTGCAGAGAGATGTTAGCAAGGATGAAGGGTGTCATTGCATGTACCCAAATCCAGGTTTATTCCACTGGTTCAGCTCCCACAACCAGAGGAAATCTTCTTGTTCCCTGGGTGAAAAAATCAGACCATCCCTGATGGAACCCATCCGTTCAGTTCATTTGTAATGGATAATAAATCTGCATAAACCATACAGTGACTGTTCATAATCTGTTAAGAGAAATAATTCTTTACACCCATCATGAGTTTAAGTTTTCAGATCTGAGAAAGCAGTAGTGTTTGAAAGCAGTATCCATAATTATCAGTGTTGTGAATACATGAAGATGGTCTAGCGTGCATAATACAGTGACTGCTTGTGTGGCTGTCCTGGTAAACTCCAGAGCTTATGGTCATCCTCTGGAGTTTTTCCTGGTTACAAACCAAAAATAAATGACATTAGCAAAATTACTTCTCTCCCATTTCACACCAGCCTAGATGGGTATATGATAATGTTTGTATTTGATGGTTAACACCTTAGGAGTTAAGGAATATTTTTTTACTTAATTGTAAAGTACATATGCAAAGTGATATTTTTTTTAGAACTTTACTCTGCTGTTTTGAGTGTGGGTCTGTTATTTCCAGTCTTTGCAAAGGCCTGAACACTATGTTTTTAGCATGCAAAACACTCGTTTTATATTACTTCTATTTTCACCTGAATGGAATTAAAGACAAGATTTTCTTCACTTCATCTCCTTCATTTGAAGCTAAGAACTTGACTGGAAGATGTAAGATTTTCCTTCTCTCATGTATAATTAAACATTGTGACAATGGGCCAGGTGTGTTATTTATTCCACTTGAAATCTACATGTTGAATAATAGGTATTCAGCAAAGAAAACAGCACGCTTCCTGATGTGATGCTGGTAAAATGGATGGATCTTTTGGAAGGGGCAAGAGTGGGAAGGTAGTCTATATAATAAGGCTACAAACACAAGATGTAAATTACTGTAGCTTTTAAACTACTTGCTTAGAATATGTGATTTGGAATATTTATATCCTTAGCAAATACTTGGAAATTTCATGACCTTTTAATGCTTTTGAACAGTTTATGAATAATTATCTCAACAATTTAAATGCATATGAGAGAAAGAAGTGCATTTTTTATTTTAAGATTAATCTTCTTCAATTTTGCCAATTCAAGCAGAGGAGTTTACTGAAAAAATGTTTTCATCCAATTTTATTTCATTTGGCTATAGATGAATTATACCAGATACCTCCATTCTCATAAATGTTTGCTTTGTCTATTTCAGTGATCGCTGTGGAGAAGACCCAAACCAGAAAGTAATCCATGGGGTTATTAACTCCTTTGTTCATGTTGAACAGTATAAGAAAAAATTCCCCCTAAAGGTAGATACACATTTCTGATTATGTATTTTAATTTGGAATGTTAGTCTAGTATATACATTATTTGTCCTTTAAAAAAATTCTCTGTTCTAGTTTTATCAGGAAATTTTTGAGTGTCCTTTTCTGAATGAAACAGGGGAGTATTATAAACAAGAAGCTTCGAACTTATTGCAAGAGTCAAATTGCTCACAGTACATGGAGAAGGTAAGAGATTCTTCAGTACACATGCAGCTATTAAAATAGTTTTAGTGATGATACATGTTGTCTTCTACAATTCCCATAGTTGTTCTTTGTGTTATGCTTTCATGCAATTGAAATATTATTTTTTAGTGATGTGGTTAATCTGAACATAAACTACGAACCTTGCTATGGATGGACGGTCAGTATCAAAATATTTCATAATAAATGATGACTCAATGGCATGAAAAGTGAAAAAAAAAAAAGACAAAAAATAAAACATATTAGGTCGATCAGTATTACTTCCTCCCTTCCTTATTTTCTTTCAGTTTGGAATAGGGTAACATTAGAGTTTTAGCAATATATGGTTAGAGAACATTCTTAAGTTTTTACAAAACATTATTAAAAATTACATAATCTGAAGTGGATTTTCTTTCATTTTGCTTTGTGGTGTATGAAGTTATGTTGTGGTTAAATTACCTGTAATTCTTATACCTTGTTTGAGAAAACAAAGATTAATACAACACTAAGAGTCTGTTCTTGGTCCTATACTATCCACACTACCAAGATGGAAGAGTTGAGAAAAGGGCTGTGAAATTGCTTCTAAGCTAATGGTTTGACACCTGTGGTGAAATTCAGGGACAGGCTAAGACTTCAACTAAATCAAAAGCAGTTTTACCTGTCATTAGCAGTCTGCAGCTGCACTGCTCTCCCTGGATTCCCCTCGTATTCACAGGGTGTTAGTGCTTTTATGGCAGTATTCATATGACTTATCTTATTATAAAGCCTATTGACCTCATTGAGTTATAAAAAGAGCTTTTATTAATAGCTCAGATGTACTCCTAGATGGACTTGGAATAGTAAAGTGATTCTTAGAGTTCTCTTTTTATTAGGTATTGTGGTAAAACTTTCTCAGAAGGAATAAGAAGTATGGTCAGAGAAATTGGGGAAGACTGGTCACAAGGGTAAAGAGAACAAGAAATTTCAAGATGAAAATTATGGAATGCTGGTAGACATCTAGTAGTGATCAAGCCTAATTAGTGCTCAGACTAGATCATATTCATTCAGTAATAGCCTGATTCAGAGGAATAAATTTAATTTTTCAGCATCCTGTACAAGTTCTTTTGTAACTTTATTACTTATTCTTGTTTTTCATTCTACACTGTTGTATATTCTGGTACTGTATTGATTGTCAGTATTTCTTCAGCTCACAGTTTAAACTCTTGTTTGCAGGTTTTAGGTAGATTAAAAGATGAAGAAATGCGATGTCGGAAGTACTTGAATCCCAGCTCATACGGCAAAGTCACTCATGAATGCCAACAGAGGATGGTAGCTGATCACTTGCAGTTTCTACATGCAGAATGTCACAATATTATCAGACAAGAGAAAAGAAGTGGTAAGTCTCACTGGTCACAAGAAGACAGAAATTATTTTTGTTTTATTCACTTAGCATTGCAATTTCCTATCTTTTTTCAATGACCTTTTGTGCACGTAAGCACTTTCAACTAATGTTACTTATCTAGAAATCTCCATTAAACCCTGAATGACATTTTTCTTTTAGCATGTAACTAATTTTTATTCTTCCAAATATATAGTCAAAACCTTCTTTTTACTGTTAACAACCCTTCTTTAAGGTAATGCTCTTTCTCTTTCCTCGTCTTAGTCATCTTAAAAACACACTGAAGTCCTGTGTCCTGTAGAATTGATCATATTTTATGTTTGTGTTTTCATTTGTGAAAACCAATGGCTTTATTTTAACCGATTTCTTCATAATCACCTAACAGGTCAGGCTTATAAAATATTTTGCTCTTGTAGTTATATTCCCTACCTGACTAAAAAAAACCCATGCTTCCCAATGACTATATGCCTCTTACCTTTGGAAAAATGCATATTCTTACATGGAAGATGGTATCTCATATGTGAAACAAATTATTTTTCACAGTCAAACTCAAATTGTATCTAATAATGGTCTGTTCAGTTTCCAGGGAATTTTTCAATTTTGATCAGAGTCTGGATCTCTTTTGTTTCGTTTCTATTTTGGGGATGTGGGGAGGCAAAATATAATAAAAATAGCAGTTGCTTGTTTTGAGCTTTTCTCACCTGAGAAAAATTTCAAGCTACCCCTGGAAGTGAATAAAAAGTCAAAAAGATATCTAAACTGATTTTAGTCAGCTGCTGCTATGGGAGATTTAGGGAGGCTAAGGTTAAAATGGGACACTATTTCTCCACACTAGCCCACCTCTCTTCTTAGAGTCTCTTCTAAAGAAGCTGTATTGGAAGAGTCAGGTAGTCACAATGGCAGGACTCAGTAAATACTGATAATAGGCCTACTCTTTCCTTTTTTTCTTTTGTCAGTGATCCACTGTATTAATTTTTTCCAGTGTTAATTTTTTTCTTTGAAAACAGCTGGTCTTGTTTCAGTCTTTAAAAAGTTCTATGTGAAATTATGATATGTTATTAAGTGTTAATTTGTAGTGTTTCTAAGTGTACTCTATAAAAATCTATCTCTGTTACAGACATGGCAAATATGTATACTCTGCTTCGTGCTGTGTCAAGTGGTTTACCTCATATGATTCAGGAACTACAAAACCATATCCATGATGAGGGCCTTAGAGCAACCAGCAATCTTTCTCAGGAAAATGTGAGTTTCCTCAGGCAGCTGAAATGACTATTTGATTAACATTCTTGATTAAGTGTTTGCCCTTTTCCTGTTAGTTTATCAACTGTTTGGTTTTTTAATTTTTCATACGTCAAATTGGTTTGGAATGTGATGTGACTTCTCATCAGCATGGTTATCTGTGCCACATTTCTCTATCCTGAGAGCTGATTGTTGTAATTGTTGTGATCTAACCAGAAACAGCTGCAATTTCTTATTGTTGTTTGCTTAATAATGCCAGTGCAAGTAAGTCCTTTTGTTCCATGTATCCATTTTTTCCCTGAATTTCTGGTAAGCCAGTGGTATTTGCTGTTCTGGTATATTAGGAGCCAGTGATTCCATTTTACAAAGACTTGACATCCTGTCCTGATTTCAATGCGGTGGTTTTTGTTGTAGTTATTTTGCTTCATATTGTCATGTAATTTCTGAAAATAATATTATTTATTTTACTAAAGTGTGTTAAACCTTTTTCCATTTATGTCTATTTAAATTACTCAATTACATTTTTGTTTCTCCAGCATTGCTATTCAGAGATAAACAACAAGCTTTCATTTGACATTGTATTTGTGCATGTGTACATCTTGCTGTCTAGATCTGTGCTCACTTTAACATGGTGACTTTAGCTGTCCAGTGTTTCTGTCTATAATAATACATAAACATGAGCTATTGTACATTCACTCTGTTACTGACTGCACAGGAGTGCTTACTATTCTGTGACTCAGTGTGCATACTGAAAAGGGACTGAAGTCTTTAGTAGTGTATTTGCTTTCAAATTATTTTTGGGTTTATTCTTTCAAACTAAGAGTATCTACACAGACAAATAAATACAGACCCAAGAGGATGGTGACAATTCACAACCTTATGTAGATAATTTCAAAGTGTGAAATACTCATTCTATTATAAAAGTTACGTACTTTGAAATATTTTTAATGTATGACCTGAGAATGTATTTGGGGAGTTATGCTACAGAGCCAGTGCCTTGCACACTGTTGCACTTGTGCCTGCCAGCTTGTCTGTGTAGGGACTCCTCCAGCTCATGTCAGTCATTTCTATGCAGAATGTGATGCTGGAATGTAGTGCCCAAAATTCAATTGGTAACTGTCCTATGTAGGAAAATGCAAAGGGATCATCCAGATTTTCTGTCTCTGAAGTCACTGTGTAGGAGAAGCAGCAGTTTATTATATCAGTTGCTTGATTGCTGTATTTATTCTATCATTAATGATTTTTGAAAGGCTAATAAAGGGTTTTAGGGAAAAATTAGATGGCTCGAGAGCAGTATAGACTCAAATCTAGGTTGCATAGCGGGACTGTAAATGTAGCTTAGACTTTTTATTTCCAAAACATGCTTTAGCACCATGGTGTGAGAGTACAGCAATGCAGAATCCATCTTCTCAAAAATCACTGTAGTATTAATTTTCTCAAAAAAGAGTAATTCGTAAAGAAACTACAACTAATGTAGATATATTTATGTTTGATACTGCTACTTCTCTCATTAACTTGCTTTCTGTTTTATCTACCCTCTCAGATGCCAACTCAGTTTGTGGAGTCAGTTTTGGAAGTACATAGTAAATTTGTTCAGCTGATCAACACTGTTTTGAATGGTGATCAACATTTTATGAGTGCCCTTGACAAGGTAAATTTTACTTAAGTAAACAAAGCATTGGAAAACAAAATCCAGGACCCTGATTCAGGCTCACCAAAACTCTTCACGGCATCAACACATGTTCAATGATAGTTCATATGCAGTCCTTCTAGTGTAGAACTGCAGTGGAGTGAAAGGCAGTCCAGTGTAAGGGAAAAGATACATTAAAGGAGACCACTTTAATACTTATTTTCTGAAAGAAAGAACTCTCCTTTCGTCTTATTTCAAAACACAAAATTGGTGCTGATCCATTTAGTGTAAATAGAAGTGCAGATAATGAGTAGGCAACTGAAGGGGTTTTGGAGGTTTGTTAATTCTTAGGTGCATTTGAACTTGAATTTGCTTGCTGAAATAATGTTTATCTCTGAATGCTCTTAGTATTACTTCCACGGAATCTTTGCTTAGATTTTTTCAAGTTGACTACAAAGAATATCTGGAAGCTTACATTACTTCAATCACTGCCAGGATAGGTAACTTTTTCCAGAAGATAGCTGCACTTGGATTTAAATAATAAATATATAGAAAGAGGCTTGCTGCTCTTTTATTTGAAATACATAGCCATGCAAGTATTCAAGATAACAGTTCTAATTATCATAAATTTTAATAGTAATAATTATTAATTATAACTAATAATTATTAATTATAACTAATAAATTCCTTTCTTTAATTTCCTGTCACAGGATGCACACCTACAGTTCATTGCTCTTTTGTGGTGTGTGCAGTAGTTGCAGTTTGTAGAAATGTCAGAGTCTTGACGTTAAAGTCAAAGCTTTGATGAATTTCAGTCAAGGTTAACCTGAAAAGGCATAATGGAGAAGCTGCCAGTGATGGTCCCAACAGTAGTTGCCCATCTGTATTTGTGACACTGATAAAATAATTATTTAGCATTTTAAAACAAATACTTCAATGCCAAATGCATTTTTCTCTCCATTGCAATTATTGTCATGTACCAGAAGGTGGAGTAGCATGAGATTGACAGCTTAATTTGCTAAGACATAGGCAGTGTACTTTTTTCTTAAATGCATCAGTTCTTCATTGAACTTTCTTACAATAAATATTTAAAACATTGATTTTGATGATGGATATCAAAATTGCTATTGCTGCCTCTAGTATTATTGCAAAAGTGTGCTCCAACTTTAAAGAGTTTCCTATTTCTTGTCAAGTAATTCATTCTTTTCTCAGAGGAATTATAGCAATTTTAGAATCTTGAGATATTATACGAAGAGTTCCTTGTCCATTTGTCCTTTATAATAATAACAACAATATTTTCCTTCTACAGAGGAACTATAATTCCTGGGAACTATGGTCATGCAGTATTTTTGTTTCATTGTTAGTTTACAACTCTAATTTAAATGTGACATGTAGTTTAGAAACTCCATTATTTTTTTCATTTCTAAACTGCCATTATCTCTTTCCTTTTTCATCTTATTCAGGTTTTCTTCAGCCACCATATTGTTTGTACTCTACTGCTTCAAATTTCCACTTTCAGCAATACATTTTTCTCCTCTTCGGTGTATGAAAAAATCCAACAACCAAAAGCACTTAGGTTTCTTACTCTTGTGAACACGTCATACAAGTTTTTCAGCTTAACACACATGATGTTGATGTGCTGCTACTCAAATCAACTTTATCTGCACTTATTCCTAAGTTTCTTTCCATCCGTTCTTTTGGATCATAATATTGCTGTATACCAAAATCGTCATATTTTTGTGAAGTTTCTAATCAGGACTTAATTTGTTCTTTGGTTTTCTGTAATTATTTTTCTTCCTCTACTCTTTCCACTTTTACTTAATTCTCAACTTAAAAACGTTTAACAACCAAATTCTCATAGAGCAATAATTTAAACCTTCTTACTAGTTGTTCCTTTTTTTACCTTCTTTTGTGTAGTTCAGTTTTATAGGACCTCAGATGGTCTTTGCCCTGAGGATTTTCTTGATTTCTTCAAATTTCATAAAAGAAAAAAGCTTAAGTCATTGACAATTTTTCTCTTTTCTCCATGTTTTTATGTAGGCTTTGACGTCAGTAGTTAACTATCGGGAGCCCAAGTCGATCTGCAAAGCACCTGAATTGGTAAGTGCTGCACACAGAAAGTAATAATTCTTGTATATAACCATCAAATGAATTGCCGTTGGGTCCTTCACATCCATATCCAGCTCTCACACTGGGTCACACTCAGGTGTGTATTTCAGCAGTAACAGCTTAAGCTGCACACACATTTTGTGAGCGTGTAAAATTGCTATGGTTCTCATTTTTTATATAAACTGTATTTTCTGTGAATGTAGAGTGTATCATTTGCCTATGAATACAGCCCTTGTATAGAATGTGAGACTATAGACTGTGACTTATTTCGTGTTTGAACTGTTGTAGAAATTTGGAAATACCTTGGCATACAATTGTTCTCAAGCTTGACAAGTAGGTTTGGGTTTGATTTTTCTTTTTTTAATTTGAGCTGGCCAAATACTGTGACAACTTGTTAAAGAAATCAGCAAAAGGAATGACAGAGAATGAAGTAGAAGACAAACTTACAAGTTTCATCACTGTTTTCAAATACATTGATGACAAAGATGTATTCCAAAAGGTAACTTTTCCTATCCAATAATGGTTAAAATGTCACATTTAAAGCATACTTGAAGAATGTGGTTATGCTTCTTAAAATCCTCATCTCTGTTTTTTTTAATGCAGTTCTATGCCAGAATGTTGGCAAAAAGATTAATTCATGGTTTGTCTATGTCTATGGATTCTGAAGAAGCGATGATAAATAAACTGAAGGTAAGGTAAATATTCTTCTAACAGAATAAAAAAATGTAGGAAAATGTAGTATTGAGAGGCAGCAGCAGAGGGTGCCAGAGGTAACTTAGCAATCAGTAAATTTGTTTCCAATAGCTGAAAGCAAAAGCTAGTTTTTGGTAGTCTATGAAAGATAAAAGGCTGAGTATCACCTAGGCATTTGAGATTTTTATTAGATTTTGGATAATTTTATTAGCTGTATTCAACTCATTCATGTTAACATTTAAAAAGCACCAAGGACTTTCATAAACATGTCTATCTTTTGATTATATAAAACAATATTTTTCATATAGATTAATGTATGTAAGGTGAAACTAAAGTAAATGTGATAATTTTATTTTACAGTGTTTGTTTTTTATTGTAACTAGTGTTTTCTGTAAATATAAAACTCTTCTGCTGAGTAGATTTTCATGTTGCATTAGTGAGGGAATGTAATTTATATGATGAATACTGTTTTCATTTTGAAACCTGTTGCAATATTTTTTCACAGCAAGCCTGTGGTTATGAATTTACCAGCAAGCTCCATCGAATGTATACAGACATGAGTGTTAGTGCTGATCTCAACAATAAATTCAACAACTTTATCAAAAACCAGGACACAATCATTGATTTGGGAATTAGTTTTCAGATATATGTTCTACAGGTACTAATGTATGTTTATTGCTGCTGAGTTATTTGTATTTATTTTTTATGTTCTGATAACAAATACACAATTTTTCTAATTATGAATACTTCTTTATATGAAAACTGATGGCTTGTGATCATTTTGGAATTGCTTAATTTCCTAGTGTCTTTATAAAATCAACCCACTAGGTCCCTAAACAATAGTGATATAAAATTTCAGTCTCAATTCTCAGTGGGGTGTGCAGAAAATGCAGTAAAAAATAATCAGCAAAACTTCCTGAGTGAATTGATTGTCTTATGACATAATGTACGCTATACGTCCACTTAAGAGTGTTTTATGGGTTTTTTTATCTATATGTTGTATGAAAATGTTAATGCTTTTATTTTTCCTAATTCTTTTAGGCTGGTGCATGGCCTCTAACTCAGGCTCCTTCTTCTACATTTGCAATTCCTCAGGAACTGGAAAAAAGTGTACAGATGGTAGGTTAGTAGGTGTAAACATGTGGAAAATATAAAATAACTCCGAATGAAAAAATCATCACTCTGAGAGAGAAAAACTTGAGCTATTGCATTATGATTGTAAATTATGGCTATCATGTTTCCAGTCCATATGCAATGTGGAAGGGTCACCCAAATACCTTACTGAAATTATCTGTGTATTTGTGTAGCTTTTTCACATATCTCTTTGTGATTCATAACCACTTCGTGATTGCTGAGAGAGATGCTAATAAATGCAATCAAATGAACTGGCTTGGTTCTTAGCTTCAAAACCAACTTCTAATATTTAGATAAAACAAGATTCTATTTCTAATATTAAATCTGAACCATCTTAATAGTGATTAAGATGCAAATACAGGTTTCTTGTTCCCTGTTTCATAGAAGCTGTTCAAAGTCAAGCTTTGTTCAAACTTCTCTAAAGCTCATTTTAGGATTTCTCAAAGCAGTAAAGGTTTTGCTTTAGCCAAATATTTTCTTCTTATGTGATTATTTCTGCTATTTTCTATTCTGCAGAGGTATTTTGTTGCTTTTGTTTATATTATTGTATTCTAAATGTTATCTGTACAAAGTTCGTTAAAATACAAAATAGTTGTATTGATCTTTGCTAAGGTGTATTTAATGGTGAAGTACAATTTAGGCAACACAAATTTTGAATTATTGGACATAAGAGATTTAAGCTGGTTTTATACCTTAAATTGTTATTTGATGTAGGTTATAATGGCAAATTTCTTCTGTAGTGAAGTGTCTTTTTCTTGTACTACTACTGAGTATTAGGACTACTTACTCAGCTTTAATTTCCACTTATGTGGCACTTGGATTTAGCAATATAATGGTTTCCAACCTACACTACAGGATCACCAGGTGACTGAGATTTTGCTGTCTTTGTGGGTTTAAAATAGGACTATTGTCAGTTGTGCCTCATGGAAAATTAGTACAGAACTGTGTATCAGAAGCAGCTCAGAGTCTGGTTTGCTTACCTAATTTCACCATTTTGCCATTTTAAAGGAGCAAAGTTACTCATGTGTGACTTAGCTAGAGATCAGTGCTTTAAACTAGAATCCCCTAAAGAAACAGAACATGACCTTGAGAGGGGAGTCTGAAAATTGTCTGACAATGTCTTTATTTAATGTTTATTTAATTTGATCATTTGACCCCTGAAGAGAGTTCTTTTAGGATTCTGGCAAGGATTTAGAATGAAAAACAGTTTTGCAATTGCACTCCAAAGTATGTGAGTACTTCAGTAACTGGGCAACCTCTTCAGCAGCTTTTTCTGAGACTGCTGGAGCTTCCTGTAAGTGGATATTTATCTGAGTGGTGTACAAATACTGGTTTTTATACTGTGCAAGCTTGTGGGTGGAGAAAAACCTAATTCCTAAAGAGGAATTCCTAAAAAGTCCTTGTTTTTATGTTTTCTTTCAATGTTAATCAGAGTTGCCATACCAAACCAGAATAAGCCAAATTGGTGTGTGTACACAGTGTTGGCATTGTGGGGTTTAGGGAGTTTGATCCCATTTTAGGGAAAGATTCTTTGAATCTGCTTAAGTTTTTCTCCTTACCAGAGGTAGACCTCAAATTAGGATTGAGTCATCACTCATCTTCTGAAGGAAAATGCTGTCCTGAATTCATCTGCAGTGTTTGCATCCAGTGTGATGGACATAAAACCCGTATTTCCTCATTAGGGAGGTAGGGTGATGATAAACTGTTGTGAGTAGTTATATGTGTGACTAATGATGTTCATTTTGTTTTGCAGTTTGAATTATTTTACAGTCAGCATTTTAGTGGAAGGAAGCTTACTTGGTTACATTATCTTTGTACAGGTAAAAATAAGTGCTTTGCTAAGCTTATGATCTAACAGTTATTTGCTGAAAGTTCTTTTCAAATGGCAAAAGACTGAAGCATTGGAACATTATTTTGCATTTTACATCAACAGACATATTTTGTGTTATAAATTAATTTAATATTTATTACTTAGAATTTCCAAAATCTGTGTTTTGTAAACTTGCATACCTGTGATTCATTAAATCCTAGTAAAACTAGAGTTGCATGTTCTTAACTGCAAAAAAGCACTGCAGAACTGCTAAGTTAATAACAATTGCCCTGGAATTGTTTCTGTAGTGTAGATGTTCCTTACATAAATACTAAATAATTTTAACAATGCATATTATACTCTTTTACTCAGGTATGTGAGTATCTACATAAATACTTATATTTACTATATAGGAATAGATGATAAAAATACCTTAGAAGATATTAAATTATAATTTATTTTACTAAGTGCCAGTCAATCATGTTTTATTTTAAGTGCTTTCAGTATCAGGCTTTAACAACTGAGCACTGCAACATACCACACGGAGGTGAAAACCATACTAGTCTACAACAATGTAATGTAATGAAAATCTAGTTCTGGTAATAGGAGAATAAATCTGCTTTCAGGTAGATTTCTTCAGTGCTTTTTGTTTTCCATGGGAATTTTAAAAATATAAGAATATGAAAAGTTTTTGATGGACACGTATTTTAGTGTGTTTTGAAATCTTTCCTTTAAACAACTTTCCTGTTAATCAGGATTCTGTGTAAACTATTAATTGAAGTTTATGCATTGCAATATATTAAGGCTACTTGGATTTTTTTTAAATATTATATATTATAATTATTGTATATTATAATTATATAATTATAATTTTTATTTATTATATTGCACTATTTTTCTAGTATTTATAGTTAATCAGGGTGAGGGGAGTGTTGTAGGCCATATTATATTATAGTAAATTCACAGCATCAGTTGTCATTGTCTCATTTCAAGTGTTAAATACAGACTTGTGTTGAATGTCTGGAAATGTAGGAGGAGCTCTAGTAATTAGGCTTCAGATGACTTTTCAGCACCTTTCATCAGTTTATAAAATACTACTTGTATCATTACAGGTGAAGTAAAAATGAATTATTTGTGCAAACCTTATGTAGCCATGGTCACAACATACCAAATGGCAGTGTTGCTTGCCTTCAACAATAGTGAGACTGTCAGCTACAAGGAGCTTCAGGACAGTACACAAATGAATGAGAAGGAACTGACAAAAACCATCAAATCTTTGCTTGATGTCAAAATGATCAACCATGACTCAGACAAGGTATGCCATAATGATATAAAAAGTTTCATGTTTTCAGTCTTGTCATCCTCATATTTGTTGAGGACTATTTTTAATATCCATTATTTACTTCTATTTTTCTAAGCTTTATTTTTTACCCTTGTGAAAAATTGTAAATCCCTACTCATAAGGAAAGAGGCAGGAAAAAGTAAAGTACCTGTCATACAGGTTTTCTATGGCTGTGGCAGTATGAAAAGGTGATCGTGCAGGGACTCTTCATTGTTTCTGTTGCCTTGCTTTCAGAGTTGTACTGAATCACAGGAAGGAGCCTGAGTAGTAAACCAGAGTCTTACAGTGATCCTAAAAAAATATTTGTGGGATTTAGACACTGAAAGCAACAGCAACCAAATTCTTCCTTGCTGCCCAGTAATATCTGAGCTTTGTTTGTGATTAAGGCAGTGGTTAATACTTCTTTTTCTGACTCTGTCTCATCCTTCTGTATAGCCTATGTGAAACTTTTTTTTCCCCATAAAGCAAAGGGCACAGACTTTACTCTGTTAAGTAAGGAACACTGCAGAAGTGCCTGTGCATCCCATACAGACATTAGCATGTGCTTCCAGCTCACCCAGAAAGCCCACTGTGCAGACAGTACCAGACAGAAGAAACTGACTGTTCAGTTCGCTTACAAGAAGAAATCCAAAGCTGCTAGCTGCTTTTGTTTTTAACCAGGAAAATTTTAGAAAATGGAAAGTGAGATCACAAGGAAGATCTTATGTTTGGCTGAAGCATAGGACATGCTTCCAATATCTAGAAATGAGCTCAGGCTGGAACAATTGCTGGGGAGATGTCTGTTAAACCACATGGGTCAAATAAAACAGTGGGAGCTATTACAGGAAACAGAGAGACCTCTAATAATCTTAGAACATTGCCTGTTATTTAAAGGATTTACATTTATTTATGTCTGTTTCATAAGGTTCACCCAGTTTCTTAAAGCTTATGCCTTGGAAGAAGGAATAATACAGCTTTCTGACCCCTTTTACTTTTTAATGTTTACCACTGCATTTTCCAGTTCTTTACCTTCCAGACTATTGTATTCAAGTGTCTTTACTATTTCTGTTTTCTTTGCACTCCATCCAGCAATGTGATAGTAGATCTGTAGACAGTCTATCAGCTTACTTATTAAATAAACAAGTGAGCTTTGGTGGCTTAAGCAGTGGAATTCAATACACAAACTTCTCTTTACCTGTATCTGAGCCAAACAGAAAAGTACAGGGTAATAAATGTTGTAGTTTGCTTTTGCTTGTTTGTTCATTTTTTGAACAGGTGTGAGGGAAAGAGTAGGAGAAACTTTGGGTAAAATCTTCATTGATTTATACTCAACACACAATTTATTTTGGTTTATATTCAACTATGTCAGCAGAATAATGCTAAAATGTAATGTTAGCCTATTTTTTGTTTGCTTATTATTTTTTAAACTCTTGGTCTTTCCCCTTTTGTGTTCTATTTTCTATACTATGCTTGGTATCCTGGTTTCAATATATATTGTAACCAAGACTATTTGTCACAAGATATAAAATGAGAATTAATATTGGTTTGAGTGCATATTTAGATAAATATTTTCTGTGTTTACTAAAATGCTTGTGCTTTAGACAGTTTGGCAAGATTCCAAGGTCTCAGAATCCCAGTAACTTTATTCTGGTGGAAATTGGTAATACTTGTACAGAGTCTTGCCTGGAAACTGCAGAGATGTGTCCAGTCATGCTGTGTTGAATGTAAAGGTGATTTTACTGTGAGGGGGGAAAAAAAAAATATATATATATATACACAAACATATATATGTGGAAAATAATTGAGATTAATCTGCAGATAATGTACACTGTAGAATTTGCAGTTTGTGAGCTATTTCTGCTATAACATACAAAATGCTTAGGTACTTTTCCTTAAATTCTGGAAGACAACTTAAAAATTATAAAAGCAGCAGCTCCCCTTTGAGGTCCTGTCGTAAATAACTGCAAATCCTACTTTTTTGCAGGGAGAAAATTACTTCAAATGGAGAGTATTTGCAACTAAGATAAGCTATCAAAGTATTAGAGGAGAAATTGCTTGTTAACAAAATTCCTGTATGTCAGAGTTCTTCATAGTGTTTTCTGAAATAGACTTGATTTCTAGGTCAGTTAAACTAGCTTTAAAAATTACCCAGTTCAAGTGGCGTTTTAGAATTTCCAGCCACAAATCTGAAATTTTTTCTCTGTATGTGAAACCCTAACTGTGACTTTTCAAACTAAATTGTTACTATTTTCTGGTACCATTTCTAATTTTTAAAAATTATTCTCTATTACAGGAAGATATAGAGACAGAGTCTACATTTTCATTAAATATGAACTTCAGCAGTAAACGAACAAAGTTTAAAATTACCACATCAATGCAGAAAGACACGCCACAGGCAAGTATTCTTTGGTGTTTCTAGCCTGAATAGCTTAGAAAGTTTATTTTTCTGAAATGGAATTTACTGTGTTAGTTTGGTGTAGTAAGCAGCTATCGGATTGCCTAAGATTTACAGAAGAAATTTTGTGAGTTTAAAGCTTAAGCAACACAATTTTTTTTTACTTAAAATATGGGCAAGAGAAGATGAAATAGGGAACAAGAAAGTAGAAGAAATAGATAAACAAAATGGTAATTGCAAATGGTATTGATGTTTAGTCTATATCGTGAGACTTTTTTGTTGCTGGTGTTTATAACAGCAACTTACTGCAAGAACAGCAGAACCAATCAACTGTTTTCCTACGATTTTGTATGCTTTGGCAACTAAAATCAACTCCTGTGTTGTTAATCCGTGTTCTCAGTATATCTCCTGAGACACAGGATTTTGTACAGGATAGGTATGTGCTGCCAAACTCAATACATTATAGTCAATTCTGCTTGCTTTTCTCCCTAGCAAAAATGTTGGTTGGTTTAGATGCCTCTCTCCTACCTTCCTATTGACTTTCATGAAACCTGATATCCTTGATTTATGGACATACTTTTCCTGGAATTGAACTACACCTGCATTTTTTTAATTAGTTCATCACTTTTAGTAAAGTAAAAATTATAGATTCAAGATACTTTTATACTTTTATCTTTATTTGTCTTCCTGTATTTTGAGCATTGCTGTTGCTCTTTTCATGGTATCACAGGAGATGGAGCAGACCCGAAGTGCTGTAGATGAAGACAGGAAAATGTACCTTCAAGCTGCTATTGTCCGTATCATGAAAGCACGCAAAGTGCTGCGACATAATGCTCTTATTCAGGAGGTAAGAGAAAGTCCTTGAGCTTGATTTGATGAAAATCTTCAGGATAATAGGGTAAAACATCCAGCTACAAAACTCAATCATGTGGAAACCAGTACTCCAGTGAAAGTGAGAACTTCCCCGGGGTTTATTTTGAACTGGAGTACTAGTTGGGATCTCTCAATCTCACGAATGTGTCTTAGCACCAAAGCATTAAGTTCTTGCTCTTTCCTGTTAGCTGGTTCTATGCCAAGAATGTTGTATCCTATAAAAATCATTGCCAGAGCTATGAGTTCGGTTGAAAACATGAATAGGGATATTCTAGTGTGGAGTTTCCACAGGAGCACTTAGCCAATTTTGTGCTCTAGTAATTATTTTATTATAAATCACGTTTTAAATTTTAGAAGTTGTCTGAGTATGGAGAAATGCACTTTTTAATCTCCCTTTTCCACAAGGTGGTACAGTTCTCTAGATATTTTAGATTCCAGATTAATGACCTGTGAACTGTCACAGGCTGGCTTGGAAAGAAGTGCTATTTCTTTAGTTTTTCTCCCACTTTCCCATCTGTTGGTTGCCTGCCTAATTGTATTTCTCATTCCAGCCTAACATTTGCTTCTTCCAACCAGTTCCCAGTTTTACTTTTCTCAAACTTCCAAAGCTCTTTCTTCAGTTTAATTTGTTCTTGAATCTCTGAGCCTTGCTGGATGGCCTCAGAGAAGGCTGGTGGGAGAGGGAATAAAAATTCCTGCTTTATTCAACCATTTTGAGCATAGAGATGTAGAGACATTGAGTAATTTGTGGTGGTGGAGGAAACAGTTTACCACATCCACTACTTAATTTTTATTACTTAAAATACACCTAGCAGCAGCAGTAAGTTTGTAAGCCCAGAAGATGCAGTGCAAGACCTCTTAAAGGCTTTGGATATTGAAGAAATGTTTATACACAAATAGTCTGAAAGCAAGCTTAATTTGAGAAGTCTGATTTTGAGTATCTAAAAGATGAGGCAGCATAGGTCCTGATTTTTCTCAAAATCTTTGTTTATTTGGTTTCCATTATTTAAATCATCCACGCAATTATGATGAAATCATGTAAGAATTTGCATTTAAAGCTAGGAAATTATAGGCAAGCAAGCCCTCTCTTCTTTGAAAATACTTTTTTTGCCCACTGTCAAATTATTAGAAAAATTTCTTGAAATGTGCTTTGCTTGACACCAGTTTATAAGGATGAATAGATCACAAATCTTCCTCTTGGAAACAAGTCCTTTCTGGTTGTTTATTCCTTTGTGTAACTGAAGGGCCACTTAAATGCCCCTGCTGTGTTTTGCTCTTGCAGGGCTCTTGCAGAATAGTAACATTAGGACCTTTTTCTTGAGCTTTGCGAGAAAGGTGGATATTTTCATGGTTACTCGGTTAAAAATTAAGTATAGTTGAGAGAATATGGCTGTGATATTGTTACTAATTCTGGTCCCATTGTTATTTTTGTTATGCTGTTTTAATTGATACATTATATATAAAAATATAAATGTGCTGTTGGACCTCATGAGTAAGAACGAATCTTTCTGAAAGGAGTCTGTTTCCTATGAAGAGTTAATACTTTCTCACCTCGTTAATATATTTTTTTTTTAGCTATAAGGGCAGGATTACACTGTTAGAGAGATATTTCAGAGACTCCTAACCTTAATGTAGTAAGCTCTGATTCTAACACTTAGACTAGAGCACCACACACTTCATTTAGGGTAAGGTGTTGAAGAAAATACTCCAGGCCCTTGGTAGATCTGTATGTGTCAGGATGTGGTGTTTGTGGAATTGTTAATTGTGTTAGATATGCCCTGATAATTTCAACTCTAGCTCGATGTTGCAGTTGCCTGCAGGATAAGGTAGCTTTTCCTATAAAATGAGTCAGTCTGGAAGAGTAATGGAGGGGAGTCAGAGCAATCATTCCCAGAAAATTTTTATTCTGGCCATCAGGTATTTCTGTCTATCCTTCTTACCTGTACTATCTTTGATTAAAAAAAAGTAACAACAACAAGAAAACCCATACCAATACAAAATTCTCTCCTTTGTTCTCTCTGTGTTAAGTAAATATATGAAGTGTGGTGATGACAATCAGCTTCAGTGGAGGGCTAAGTTAGGTGAAATCCGAGCAGATCTATCAGCTTGTTAGCACCCAGTTTCTCCTGACTTGCACTGCTGTGGAACTTACCAGACCCTTGGCTGTTAGCCCAACAAAACTCACTCTTTTGAGCTTTTTGTTTGCTTTGCTGGGTGAGTTCCACCTGGTGAATTTTGTTGGCTCACAGAGGGCCCCAGCAAACTCTAGAGCTGGGACAAAGCCAGCCATGAGGAGTTGTAAAGAAAACTGAAAATTCAGCTGATATAAAAATAATTTTCTTTACAGAAGAAATAAGAAACTAAAGGCAAAATATATTGTGACACTTGAGTAGTAAGATCTTTTGTTTGAAAAGTTTTCCTGCTTATAGATTTGCATGTTCTATTATTACACACAATTTCTTCCCCTTCTCTACAAGAGAATGGGCAGAACTAAGAACTACTAAAAGACATCTAAAGTTTTGCCTGGAATAGCAATTTCTTCCACAATGCAAATATAGATTTGTTTTTAAAATAACTTCTTGTATGTATTAAAAAGTTCCAGCATAGCCAGATGGAACTCAGGAAATTGTAGGTCTGTCTTTGATGACTGAAGTCAGAGAAGTTCATCCTGATTGTCTCCAATTGTATAGGGAAGGAGGTTAGTGGTAGGGGAACTCCACTGTGATAGTAGTCAAGAAAAATGTTAATATTAGATTAATTTTTAACGTGGATATCTGTCTTCATTTGTACTGTGACAAATGAAGCAAGCAAGAAGAATTAAGAGATCTGAGGAAAATGTGGCCAAAGTAACCAGTGAGCTGACCAGTCAGTTTCACCATCCTGACACTAATACAGCGAGATACTTTCTTGGTTGTTATAAATTAACTATTCCAGGGTTATATAATCCTGTCTTTAAAAGAAAAATATGCTGAATTTGCGTTAAAATCTTTGGCAAGTATTTAGATGACATTTATAAATGCAAAAAATAAAAACAACACAAAAAATATGTCTTTCTTTTGCAGGTGATTAGCCAATCAAGAGCTAGGTTTAACCCAAGTATCAGCATGATTAAGAAGTGTATTGAAGTCCTGATAGACAAACAGTACATAGAGCGAAGCCAGGCCTCTGCAGACGAATACAGTTATGTAGCATGATGTTGCTATCCTGCAGGTATGATTGTAAGGAGATCATTGCTGTCACTGTTTGGTGTGTTCCTGTGGGAAGAGGCAGGCCTGTGCCTCCATAATTGGTCACTTGGCAGCCCCTGTTTTTCTGCTGTTTACAACATCACCAGTGCCATGTCATGAGCGTCAATGAAAATGCCTATAGATATTTCAAGCTCATGTCATTATGACATTTCTTAAAACTTTACTAAAAGAATGAGTGAAGTATTGCTGAAATGTGGAGAATTGGTTGGGTACCATGCTTTTTTTTTTCCCCCCCCCTCCCCTTTCACGTTTGCAGTTGATGTTTTTTAATGTATCTTAAGACAAAGTAAAAAAAAATCACACAAAAAACCTAAATATTGTAATATGACAGATAACCTAATAATTGTATCTACATTAAAATGTACAAAAATGACGAACATGATACTGCTGCTTGTCAAATAAAAAAATAAAGTTATATAATGTGTCTCGAATGATTGTAGAGCTGGATATAGCATTAATGTCTGTAAATATTATTCAGGCCTGAAGAGTAGAAATAATGTTACGTGTTTGGATTTTGGATAACCTCAGAAGTAGGTCTGACATAACAACTAATTTATACAAAACTGAATACCAGGTATGTCATGTTTGATGTGATTATAAAAAATATTTATGGTTAAGTGCACATCTTGTTTTCTTGAGATTAGGCTAATTTACATTCTCAGTGCCTGAAGGCCTCCCCTGTGTCTGTTAATCCTACACTGTAGGAATACGTTACAAGAGAAAATAAACTGACATTTGAGGGGATTTAAGTGGTGTAGCTCACAAACACTTAGGAATAGTAATCATGAGCATCAAAGATAGAGTTCAGTGGCTTGTGAAACCACCTTCTTAGTGGGAAAGCCTATAGCAGACTGCTAACTGAAAAATGTTTTTTCTTTAATGTATTGGGTAGAAACACTACATGGATGGGTATCTGTGTTTGTTTCCACATAAATTCATACTGCCTGTTTCTTGTTTTCCCTCCTGACTCCTATGGTTGTTTTTATCGTGTTTTGTTTTCTTCTGCCCCAATTAGATTTCCAGCTGTTAGGGTGAGACAAGAAATCCACAGGCTATTTCATGTCCTATGTTTGTTCATCAGGGTTGTTCACTCTCAAACAAGCAAACTATAATTTTAAAGGGTACTGACTCTACCACTGGAAGTGAATGGAATATAAGAGTATTGAGAGTTTGAACACACTGAATGCCTGCTGCAGAAAAGAGTTTCCTCATGGCTGTGTGGGCAATTATGATTGACAAGATAAATATTAAGTTTAAATGTTCTATTTTTGCCAGATTTATTTGCGTGCATATAAAAATACATATGAAGGTATATACTATTTGCAGTATTTTTTTAGATTGTGTAGTATCACCTACTAAAAATCCACACATCAAGAACTAATTTTAAAGAAATAAAACTTTGGAGGGAGCTTTTTACTCTTTTTTTCTTTTTTCTAGTTCTTCTCTGTATGAAAGGCTTCTCTCTCAACTCTCAGGTTGTTGCTCTCTCTTATTTCTTAAGTGGTATTGCATTACCATATATACTATCTCGAGGGTATAGGAAACTTTCTATGGTTAACTAGGAAATGCATCAAGAAGTGGTGCTATGTTCTTCTGATGTGGATTTTGCTAAGGATGAATAAAGGGCAATAAATAATAAAGGGCAGTAAAGATTCCTTCCATATTTATGGTGTTTTATCCCACTATGCTAAGATCAAGATTTTTTACGTGGATTTATGTCTTCAAGAAGTGAGGTTTTTTAACTAATTGTAATATGGTGCTGTAGAACATTGTCTCAAATGTTAATTTAGAGTTGTCTCTATGTGGCGAGACAGCACAGGTGCTTAAACTCACCAGGTGTAGTAAACAGGAAACATATCAGCAGAGATTTTGACTGGAGTGACTTCTGTTTCAGTGTGGAGCATTTCTGTACTTGATAAAAAAGAATTAATTCATTACATCTTAGGAAAAAAAATAGGGGCAATATTCTATTACATAACAAAATTTTTAAAAAGGAAAAAATATTTCCTGAATGCTGAATTAGCAGATCCTTTCTCGAGAAAATGAACTAACACTGACACCAAAGTTTCTGGAAACAAATGTGTTTTATCTTGTAACTTGTATTTGAGTCAACAGATTTTAAGCTTGTTCATAAAAGCGTTAATAAAAGCTTTATTTAAATATAGATTCCAGTAGCAAAATTTTAAGGCCAAGTTTGAAGAAGGCTTGGCCAGTTTATTTTCAGAATCATTTCATAGGCAACACAAGAACTTCACTGCTCTAGCCCAAACGTGCAAGGTTTTAACATTACCTTATCTCAATTTTTGCATACCTAAACCATCATTTTGGGTTTTAGGTAAGCATGCTGCTGAGTTGAGACATGTTTAGTGAGTTAAAAACATTCATCTATTTCAGTGCAGTTGGCATCCCCAGATGATGTCTTTCATAATTACACACAAACTCAGTCTTTTTGGTGCCTCTTAGGAAATGTTGTTGTAGCTGGGAAACATTTTGAATTTTACCTTATAAATCACACTTTCCCCCTCGGGAAAAGAGCAGTGCAAAATTCAGACCCCTGTAGCTGGGTTATGTCGCTGAAATCATTGCTGGCACACAGGGATGCAGTTTACAGTGTAGAGCTTCAGCCTGGCAACCAATACCTTTGGCAAGTGTAGGTTCAAAGTATAAAGTGCTAATGGGTACTAACAGGAGGGGCAAATTGTAAAAAAGAGAAGATAGCCAAAAATACCATACAGATTTAATTTTTTACTGGAAGAAACTGGTATAACTGTGCTGCTTTTTTTTGTTTCTTTTGTTTTTGTTTTTTTGTCATCTGCCTATGGACGTGTATGACACCCTATTGTATAGGAAGCCATAGAGCTGAGTGGAAACATAATGGTTTCATACATCTCATACATGCCTAATATCAAAATGCATTTTACCTCTGGTACTGAGTACTACTGATCATTCTTACACTAACTGTAAAGGTGTTTCTATGATGTTCTCATTTGTCTTGAGACTAATTGTCTAGTTCTGGGAAAGAAAAGTGTGTGCCTGCATTTTAGTGTATTCATACACACAAGGCAGCCAGAGCTGTGAAAGATATTTTATCACTACAACATAAGCTGTTTGCAAAGCAGTGAGTATCATTACTTTCAATGAGTACATCACCTTTCCAAATAAGCAGAGTACAGAAATTGGTCAGTGGAGAAATAAATTTTATAAACTGATATCTTTCAGTTATGCTTAGAAAGAAATTTCTTACCCTTAAAAATTTAAATTTAAAAACAAGTACTGCAACATGCTATTGATATTGAGCATAAATTCTTTCTACCCCAGATATTTTAGGACTGTCCATGCTTTTCAAATAATAAGTATTTAGAGTTAATTAATCTAAGATATCACAATGTATGAAAACATATTCTCCAGAAACAATTGTTCTTGCACTGATTATTTTCTCTTATTACAAATCTGAATTTGTCTTTACTTGTTTATGGTAAATTGTACTGCCTTTTGAAGCTGATAAGAAAACAGCATTTTTCAGTTTTGTCAGGGAAAAGAAGAGGAAGGGTCAAAAAAGTATTTGAGTTTAATAATTTTAAAACAGTGCAAGACTTTGGTAAACACGTGTGTGGTTTTAAAGGGGAGGGTGAATAAATATGATGATAAAAGTAACCAAACATCCATATACATACGGATGCTTGGATCTGCATTTGTTATTGTCTCCATTCTGTGGAATTTGTAATTCCATCAATAAGGGAAGAACATAACAGGCAGCAGAAGTAGAGAGGTAGATGAGAGGCTGGCTGTTTGGCACCTGGCAGTTGTGGTGGTGCTACTCCTACCAGCTGGCCCAGGAGTACAGCACAAGGCATGAAAGCTCCCTTAGTCTCCCCAGTAAGCCCAGCCTTGCATATGCATCTGGGAGGTGAAGGACTAAGCCTCAGAAATAGTACAGAGCAAGCCTAAAGGTGTTGTTGGTCACTTGTAAAACAGTTCTAGTAATTTAGGGAATTACTTCCACCATTCACGTCTGCACATTTTTAGGATCCCTTTGACTGAAAGCTGAGTGGTGATTTAAGCAGAACTGAAATACTCACTTGTTTGGTTGTTTTGGCTGGAGTAACAAGCAGGTGACATTAACAATACCATAAAGTTCTTCCTCCTCAGCTGAGGACAGTGCTGGGTAGGTGCATTACTAGCCTGTTACAGTATCAAGTACAAAGTACACTTGAACCAGTGGCAAACTTGGTGTATGTGAACCCTTTTCTAGAGCTTCTGTACTAGCTGGAAATATTTGATATTTTACAGAGGATGGCTATTTGTGTGTCCTTCCTTCCACTCTTCCACTGAGATAAAATCACACACTGGTGTTCCGTAAAATTTGCTCTTCAAATCTTAGATGCAGTTGTATACCGTGAACAGAAAATCATGTATTTTAGGACTACAGAAATCAATGTAGGATAAAACACTTGCCAATGTCTGTATAGCCAAGGCATCAGTTCTTTAAGTCTGACTCTTATCCAACCAAACATTCAATATATTGGTGTTTACAGGAGCAATGGATACATAAGGAGATTGTTTGGCATCTTCTCATCTGAAAGAGACCTTGTTCTTAACATAATCACTGAACAGCAAACACTGTAATTATCACCTTTTCATGGAAGCTGGTGGTTCTGATGTGTGTCCAACAGGCTTTTTCCAGCAGCTGAGAACAGTAGCACTGTTGCTGTCAACAGTTAGTAAAAAGGAGTGATTTGAGGGCTGTCTTGAAACTTGGCAGATTGCTATTGCCTGTCTTTTAGTGTTGGTTTTATAATCTATAACCTACTAGGTCTATATGATAAAGAGTGCAGTACTTTTCTGGTAGTATTTCACATTATATTGAACAGTTTCAGTTGAGTTGCATAAGATGTACTTGGTCTGTTTTCTTAAAAACTCTACTTATGGATCCATTTTCATTTCTTCTTTCCACCAGCTTGATAGAATTGTGATCATCAAAACCAGAGTATGAGAGAATAAAACAAAAGTCTGAAACTCACGATGCTGTGTACTCATCTGTATGTTTGAAACCAGTTCAAGATGTTTTATGAGAATTGTTTTTAAAAATGCCAGGCATTTGGCTCCTTCAGAGTGGTGAGATACATTGAGTGAAGTGCTGCCTGGAGCTGATCAAGAGGAAGCTGTCAGTGGTAGGGTATGAACGATCTGCTGATTCTTACACTTTGGAAGTTGATGTAGTGCTCAGAATCCAGCACATCACATGCTCTCTTCAGGGTTTGTTCTCTTTTTAAGAGAGGCACAAGAAGTGATGCCAGTGGGCATTCAAGAAACGTGAGACTTGGCCTTTTTGAGTCTGTTCTCATTCTTTCCTTGACCAGAAGAGTGCCCAGTCTTAATCCTTTAGGCAAGCAAGGCCTGTCACCTCTCTTGGATGTGTACAAATGTAAACTGGC